ACTTATGTTAGTAAACAGTAACTGCATTGCACTCCAGAACCAGGGAATAATCTAGATTCTAGAGTAGATAGAGACGTGTATGATTCACATGTATGCTCATGGTCTCATGGATGATTCTTCCTTGAAGAACATTACAATAACATCTCAAATGCAGAAGCAAATGATTAAATTATAAAGCTGTAATATTGCACTTGAGCTCCATACCAATTAAAAGGTGACTTTATACATATATATAGTCATATATATGAAATCTTCAGGACCATCTCAATTTCTGGTGATAAGACCAATGGCCTTACATCATAATCAAACGAGCTAAAAGACAGTCTCAGCAAGCTAATTAAAGCAGCAAGAACGGCAACAGGTGCCAAGGAGAGGAAAGCAGAAAAGAAAAAGAAAGAAAAAAGAGAGGATTTGAATTAATTCAGAGAGAGAAAAAATGCCTGGCCTTCCTGCATACCATCATATGATCAGTACCATGGAACGGTTTCTTCTTCACCAAAACTCGATCTCCTCCATTTTGTTGAGCTAAGCTCGCATGGCGGCCTCCATGCCTTGGCTCTGCAGAAGAACTACTGAGAGAAGACGACGGCGGCGGCGGCGGCGGCGGCGACGACGAGGTCACCGGAATGGCCTCCCGGAGACGAGGAGGAGCAGGGAAGCATGGTGAGGAAGGGAAGGCAGGTTGAAGGAGATGGTGGCATTGGCATCCTCCTCTTCCTTCTTCATATGTCCCAATGAACTGGTGCTACTTGCACAAAGCACAAGCGTGTGGGTTAGAGAGAGAGAGAGAGAGAGTGGAGGGAGGGAGGTTTCTCTCTGCACCTAGATGTAAATGTATTTTTGGTTAGAATACTAGAGGTTTTTAAGCACACACAACTAGCTTAGGCTGTGTTCGCATGCACCTTTTCCCATCCCCTCTTCTTCGTTTTCCGCGCGCACGCTTTTCAAACTATTAAACGGTGTATTTTTTGTAAAAAGTTTCTATACGAAAGTTGCTTAAAAAATCAAATTAATCAATTTTTTAAAAAAAATTAGCTAATACTTAATTAATTACGTGTTAATGGACCGCTCCGTTTTCCGTGCACAGGAGTTAGGTTCCCATCTCCCCCATCCGAACTCAGCCTTAGCAGTAGCATGAGTTTACACATCAGGATCATCTGTGGCCGCAGTCCATGTGGACAGCTATCAGCTCATGTTCACTAACCATACCATAAAAAAAATAAGGTTTTATGGAGCCCTCTACTGTATCTTTTTCTAAAAGGGTGTAAAAACTATTGGATGTTTACCTCTGTTACACTTTACCACTATCAACAATTCAAGAAGAAAAATGAAATCTAGATGAACAATACTGCAATGTTGTTTTTTCTAGGTACAAGAGAAAACCCCGCTCTATATTATTGTTGTACAAACCCAGATACTGTAATGTTGTCATATAAAGTAAATGTGAATGGATATATAAAACATCTAATGCGTCATATTTCCAAAATACAAAGCAGTGGAAGTATAATTTAGCAGATTGCTAGAGATATGGAGGTTAATTTGATTGGAGGGGACAAATATAAAATGCATAAAAATTGTACATAAGGAACTTTTTTATATTATTTAGTAACGAACAAGTGACAACTTGCATGTGTATGTTTGTCTTTCACATAATACGAAAATTATAACTACTCGCAAAATGGTTTAAATCTATTGTTATTTGTCAAATAACCAAAGAAGAAAACATTGCTACAACTATAAGAAAAGAAATCAGTTGCCTTTAGACTTTAGTAATTTGTCAGATAACCAGACCATACACAAATGCAATGACTACCAATGAGCTCGCTCTAACCAGACCATACACAAATGCAATGACTACCAATGATGCAGAAAATCAAAGCCTTTTAGGAGAGATAAGGGAGAAGATTGTTCCCATAAGGAGCTGACCAAGAGAACGAGTTATAAGGCTTTGGCTTGCTGATCAAAGCAGAAGTGTAGGGGTCCAAAAGTGAAAGAACACCGTCTTTTTTCTCCAATCTCACGTGGGATCAATTCCATCTTTCACACAGTGAAAGTTTCTAAGAGAAGGGTTTTTTTAGGCTTGCCAGTTAGCAGGGGTGACTTCTGTTTTGCCATTCAAATCTCTGTTTGAGAAGAGGGTTGAACAATATGTGTATGCATGTGCTGTTGACCAGCACCTTTTCATGTGGAACACAAGCAATAGCAAATCCCTATTTTTGTAAGATATATGAGTGTGTTTAAAAGTAAATCTAATCATTTGGTTTTCCATTAAAAAAAATCAAACCTTTCCTCTAGATTGCAAGCCTGCAGTTCTAATCATGTTGGAAGCCTAGAACTGTAAGAAATAATAGTTGGCCATGCTTGTCTTGGGTTTGAGTCGATTTTGAATTTTAGGTTTGATTTCTTAAAAGAATAATTTTAATTAGCTAGCTTTTGTACTTGTTTTCTAGCGATCATGATAGCCAGACAACAAAAATAACAATATTCAAAATCACCTCTAGATTTTTATCCTAGCTCCAATAAGCAGTAGTAGGGTACGATTCATATGTTGATATGTGGTAACACGTTGCGATTCCACATGTACATGTGGTGATGTTTGTGCATGTGCACTTTCCTTGTAATTGTAAAATATAAACTTGCAAAGAAGGGATAACCTAGTAAAAAAAATGCACTTCCTCCGTTTCATATTATAAGACTTTCTAGCATCATCCACATTCATATATATATTAATGAATCTAGATATATATGTGTCTAGATTCATTAACATCTATATGAATGTGGGCAATGCTAGAAAGTCTTATAACATATAACGGAGGTAGTACCTGATTTTCACCAAAACATTGAGTGATGAAATCACTGGTAGTTGCAACCTATTTTCTTCATCCATAATCGAAGACCGCAAAAAGCTAGATCTAAGAGTGATCCATGGAGAAGGCTCATAGGTGGGCTAGGTTGGTGATGGTGCGATGACGTGGATGAATAGTCAAAACAGCGACGAGGGAATAGAGAGAAGGCAACTTGGTAGTGCTTTATATATTAGGGTTGCCGTAGGTACTTGAGATCCAATGGTCCACTATTAGAGTTGTCATATATAATAGGTGATCCAACGGTCTAAAGAGCACATAACCTAGTAGGGAAAAAACATTGAAATGGTACCTTTACTTACAATGTTTATTTCTAAATGTCTCAGAGAAAATATAAATTATAGAGGATAAAATACAATAAAGATTCCTCACATGAACAGCTAACTAGGGCCTACCTCACCATATTCGCCCTCTTATAGCGAAACTAGGTGCATGGAAATATTGTTCCCTCGTGTTGTTATCTCACATTATTTTTATGGATAAGGAAGCAAAAACAGATCGCGTGAGATATCACCATGAGAAGAAATGGAACAGTGAGATGTCCCCATGGAAAATAAATACTCCCTCCGTCCCAGTTTAGAGGGCGCTAAATATTTCTACCGGTGTCCCACAATAGAAGGCGCATGTTCAAATTTGTTCTGTTTCTCCCGAGATTAGCCCCGTTAATGATGTATGCATGCAGTTTCAAATTGGCTGTGCGTAGAGCATGCAGAGAGACGGGTTGGGCCCAACCAGATATATGCAGTCTTTTTTTAAATTAGGAACTTAGCCTATTGAACAAGAAACTTAGTTCTCAAATAACCCAATCTGAAATTCGCTCCTATGGAGATTTTAACTCGGGACCTTGGAGTGTTATTCAGCTCACTGCAACCACTAGGCTATATGCCCTTTCACGGATACCAACATAAGCAGAATAATTTTTGGCATAGAGAGAAGGAGTAGAATCTGGCTACGTGTGTGAGGAAGAAATAGGACCAAACCAAACCGAGAAAGCTACTCCCTCTATTCATAGATATAAGTATTCGAAGTATCTAAAGTTCGTTCACAAATATATAAGCATTCCAAAGTAAAACTTATTCATCAATCACCTCTTATTTGAATTTCGTCTTACCTTACCATTAACCACCCACCCCATTTATCCTTTGTTTTAAAAAAGCAAACATCTCTACTAAACAACTTACAAATGTCTATATTTATTGATAGGAGTATAATAGTCCAAATAAGATGAGGACTGAGGCAGGGGCGGATTTACAACGGGGGCGGAGGGGTCTTGAGACTCCACTACCGCTCCCGGGACAGTGGAGACCCCCCTAAGCCCCCACTAAATTTTTTTCCCATAGATCCATAGGATGTGGGGACTGGAGGTTCGACTTATGCTGATGTAGTTTATTCAGCTCCCACTACTATTTTTTTCTAGATCCGCCCCTGGACTGAGGAGATGAGAAAGGTAGGGAAAGGGCAAGGCCATGGGCCACCATGCACCGCGGCACAAAGCGGTGTACAGAGCAACAACGGGGGCACCACTTTGACCACCACCGCCGCCGGGGCCGCCACTTCACGGCTTCACTCCCCTCCCGGCCCTGCCGCATCACGTGCACCCCGGGCCCACCACCGGTGGTAGGCCCACCGTCGCAGGCCCCCCTCACTCTCTCAGACTCTCAGTCGGTTGGTTCAATCGCGACGCGAATTCGCTCGCAGGCGTTGAGGTCAGTAAGGAGGAGGGGCAGGAAGGTCATTTCGCGCGCCATGAATTGCAATTGCCCATACGGAGGTCGCACGTGCGGGGGATCGGGCCCACCGGTCGGACGTTGGCGGGACCGAATCCCGCGACATCGGCCCGGCTCTTCCACCGATAATGCCCCCGCGGCTACACAAACATGATGGTCCATGACTCGATGGACACACAGCTTCCATTCCGATTCCTCCCAATCCCGACGCCAACCTCCGTCTCCCTCCCGTCCATGCCATACTACAGCAAGTATAGCAGTAGCAGCGTTGCGTTGTCGCCGTCCCAACTCCCAAACCGGCCAGCAGCATCACCTTAGGCTTAGAGACAAAACGGCAACTGTGGAGAAATACAAGGGGCGCAGCGCACCAATCCACCACCATGACCCAAAAAAAAACACACACACATCATCAGAGTGCAACCAACCAACCAACCAACAAGGAAAGAGGCAAAATACGTCCTAGTACATCAACAGGCGTGGATTGGCAAGGAGAGTTTTGGAAGTTTCCTGTCCAGAAAATTGGTAGTAGCATGTAGCCTCAGCGTATTCTAAAAGCAGGCCGTAGGACAAAACAAGCTCGCACCTTGAAAAGATAGGCCGAGGCACAGCACAAGTAGCTGTACTCTACAGACTCTACACGGTGGCTCGTGACAAGAGAAGAACCAAGTCTGGTGTTTTCACCTTTTCACCTTCCTCGCCAGGTTGAAGCACAACTGCACAAGTGGTCTTTGCTAACAGCGGCTGTCAGTAATCTTTACTAGGGCTTGGGTTAATGTCTCACTCCTCTAGTCGTCGAGCCAACCAGAGGAGCCGTGCATGAAAGGCGGATGGTCCATGCCTCTGGACAGAAATTCTGGAGGTGGGTACCATCCTTGCCACAAGTCATTTCTTGGGGCGAACTGGAGTCCAGGGAAGGGAATTCTTGGAGCAGGAACGAACGGTAATGCAGGGAGATCACTCGTTGTCTGTGGCAGATATTTTGCAACCACTGCATCGACCTCAGAAGCAGCAGGGGGTGCAGGTAGTGAATCTTCCAGCTGTCTGCAACCAGCACCAGCTTCAGGTGTCCCTCTGGACAGTGTGTCTTCCAGCCTTTGATATTGCAACCCAGCTGAAAGCCTGCCTCCTCCAGGAAGTGAAACGATCGGCTGCCCAGAAAAGCCAGGTACGAGTTCATCCAGAGGAGGTGGTGTGTCTTCCAGCATCTTGTATTGAACTCCAGCTGCATCTGCAGGTCTCTCTGTGAGTGGTGAATTTTCCAGGCTATGGTACTCAATGCCAGCTGATGTCACCTCATCACAATCCGCAAAACCAGTTGGTTGTTCCACAGGTGCACTTCCAACATGATCGTGGGCTTCTGAACCAGTATGCCCATGCTCTGAGTTTGACATAGTTTCGGTTTGTTTTTCACAATCGCTCTTGTCAGATGATGAAATGCTCATGTCAGATCCACAACCCATGCCTGCATGATATTCATGGGTTGGATCATTTCTTCCCTCGTAGTTGCAAGGCTGCCGTGATCTTCCATTGGTATCTGTCCAGTAGTCCCCTGGCGAGCTAGTAGGATCATGGTATGTGTCAGACAACAACTGATCTATAACAGAGGCATTTAGTGGTGCCTCTTCTTGTCTTTCTTTGTTGTCAAGGTCATCATCCCCCTCATTAGCCATTTGTGCATGCCCTGTGTTTACAACAGACCTTTGAGTATCATCTAAGCACCACACATTTTTACTGATGTGCCCCATTGTTTTAGCTATTTCCTTGTGTTTCCGAGCCCAATCACTACGGCTCCATAGAGAAAGAGGAGGTGGTGACATATTCCATTGTTCCATAATCTTGTTATCAGCATCAAGCGACCCAGGCAAATAGAACGACTACAGTTTTCCAAAGAAACAGTCAGAACGGAATTTTGCAACACCATGTCAAGGATAACATGCAACTGTACCAAGGAGAGTACTATCGTACCTTTCCTGCAAGCTGATGAGAATCCTCCCATATTAGCTCATATGGTGGGTATTTCCTGTCCAGCCTACCAGACATTAAAAAATGGAGCTGTGTTAACAATCAATGACAGCCACAAGTATATATGGAGAGTGGGACAGTACCTTTCAGTTTCCTTAGGAACAATGAGTATGATCAGCTTGGGCTTGAAAGTGAGGGCTTTATTAATGAATTGATTAGCAAGAGAAGCTTTAAACCCAAACGGAGGATTCAATCCCATGATCTGAGGGAAATAGCAAATATCAAGTAGAGAAAACTGAGACTTTCTGTGAGAACAAATAAAATGAATGGCTGGGTTGTGAGTATACCAATCGACATCCTGTGGGCAATTCATCTGGTTGAACGGTCATCCAGTCTCGTCTCTCAAAATTGAAGTCATTCTAGGGAAAGAGGTATGTTGTGTCAGCTTCAACACAGGATAGGGTGTGACAAAAATATTTATCAGGTGCATGACTAGGCCCTCATATATGTAGCTTTTACCCTTTTAATCTCCCCGGTATTTCCATCTTACTGAACGTATCTATTTCATGCATGGTAACTTGTTCAATATTAAAAAAAACATCATATATTACCCCCACCTTTGGTTGAATAAGATCAAAATTTTTATAGAAGCAACTTTTTTCAGAAGCTTCAAGCTTTTCCTTCAATAATAAGCTAAAATCATTTGAGCCACAGCAAAAGTCAACAACCTAAAACAGACAGGAAAAGGAATGTGTAGTGAATTGTTAGAAGTGGCACATCTGGATCATGTGTAAAGGTCTTCTATTTTTATTATGAACCCAAAAAAATTGGTACAATCAATATCAGATGGAAAACTAAACATAGCATTAAGTTGGTAGATCAACAGCATTGCAAGCACGATTACAAAGAGTCAAATCAAGACATCAATAAAATAGAAAATCTGCCATCATCTACTTCTCTTGAAACACAGTATGAAGATTTGAGAGGTTAATCCAAGGGTATAAAGCAAGTGGCATTAAACACTTGACAGATCGAGCAGACGGTGACACATAAATCCTACTATTACATTATTGCAATCATTTAGTATCTATGCTAAGCAGCTAGGGTAATTGTTTGCATAGTATCGAAATTAGGACATTGAGGTTATCCATTGTCATGACTCGGCATAATATCAAAATCCATAGAGCAAGATTAGCACGAATAAATGAAAATATATCTCCGTGTTAGTTTTTGAGAGCCAGCAGGCTCTTCCCAGACTCCCAGTACAAATAAACAACTGCCCGAGCTAATTTACTTCATTTGAACCTGGATATCTAAGCTTGGCAAGGATAAAGCATCGATACAATATCGCTACAATCGAACACCAGAATTTATGCAGATGTATGACACAAAAAGCAAGCACATTGAAACCTGTATGTTGCATCACTTATGCACATTCATGATGACCAAATTTACATAACAAAGCAGAACAAACATGTACCGTATCACCACTTTCAATATACCATTGTAGCCTATCTACAATCTGCATAATTTAAACATTGTTATGTCAGTACTAAAAACAGCATCAGAAGAAGGTAGAAACTAGAGTATATAATAGTTAAGCATAACAATAACCCCGAGGTAAGAATAACCACTATTTTTCAGTGCTAATAAAAACAGGGCATGAAATCAAACAACAGTGGTTATGAAAATTGAAATATGAAGTTTGGTTTTCATTCATCACAATTGAATTCACAAGTGGTAAAAAGTAGCAAAAGGATATAGATCTCTAGAAATTTCCATTGGTAATACCAAATGAAACAAATTCCTACTTTTGTTTATTGGTGCAGTGGACATATTTATGCAAGCAAATCACAAGACAAGATTGACACTTGAATAAGATTTTAAAAAAAATGTGTTTGATTCCTTTGTCCACGTTTAACTCTCAGCACATAAAAATACAGCAAAATGGTACATGCCAAGGAATGGTAGAGGGGTAGCATAATTTGTTCTTGCTTAATTTTAATCATGGCAACTTCTTCTCTAAACAGAGGGAGGCCAAACAGTTCCTTCTATGAAATGATGATCATCTCTCCATCTTGAGACAAAGGGAGTGGTAATTAAAATATTTGACAAGTGATGTGTACCACTGCATATGAATGTGCAGAGGTCCAAACATAAACCTCATTGACACAGTAATTGTCTGGAACTTTGGATTCACAAGTAATATTTGCAGGGCTATTTGATAATTGGAACATTGTTTTTCCAAGTATTCATCACGAAACAATTTAATTCATGCAGAACCAAACAATTTATAGTTGAGTAATGAAGAGTAAACTGAACAAGAGTTGAAGGACGAGATATAGATTTCTTTTTCCAATTACAAAATCAAGTACAACTTTGTTAAAACTGACGATAATGAGCAAAGAATTGGCAAGAATATCCATTTAAAAGAAACTTGATCGGTGGGGGAAAGACCACCCCCACGGCTTTTTCACGAAGAAGCCTCAGCAGCCAAAGCCAGCCAAGAAAGTCCATGAACCCTGGTCCCTTGACACGAGGACCTGCCCCCCATGGTTCGGGCCTTAATCTGTGCTTTGAGGCCCCTGTCCCGTACACGAGGGCTTGCCCACAGGTTGTTTTCTAACACGTGTTTTAACCGAGGGGCCAGCGAGTGTCCTTTTTAAAACCAACCCTGAAAACTTGCTCCCAAGGGGAGTTGAACTAGACGCTGGTAGGTGCTACTAGAGTGTTGTGGCCACTGGCTACAGACCCGTTCGCAAGAATATTTATTTCATGACAAGACTGTTTTGGGTTAACATTTAAAAATAATATTTATAACTTCCGAAATCAAAATGTTATCTTCCAAAGGAAAATTAAAAGGATGATAGATCAGTACAGCAAAATAACCAACCCACAGTATTACTGATCTGCATACCAACCTGCTCGAGTTTGTCCAGTTTGGTGAAGTGGCGCCCATAAGATGTGTAGCGCATGCCATGAAGAAATGGTGCAAGATATATATTCAGTTTATTCTGCAGACAATAGTTCATGATATCATGGATAGAAGAGGTTTTGTTATTTCTATACAGACTACAAACTTGCTTTTAGCATATATCACTCCACACAATCATAAGCAATTACAAGCATGTTAGAATCATAGGAATTTTTCTATTATCTGGTGTGATGTTGACCATTCTCATTGTGCATAAAGAGAAACAAACTATAAGGCCTATTACATATAAGAATGAGACACAGGAGTTCATAATATTCAGCAGTAAACCATTGTTACAGCAAGGAAGTGTGTTTTCAATATATTCATGTACCTTCCACCTTGCAAGTTGGAAAAGATCACTAGGTGCACATACAGATTTGACATCTTCTATGGATGCACCATTTTCTAACATATGCAGAGCAGCATTTATAGCCTGCAAGGACAATATGTAAGAATCGACCAAATTCATGGCATTTCTTTTAAGGAAGCGCAGAAGAGTACCTCAACAGATCTTTGCACCATTCCCAATGTAATCTTATCAGTATTCTTCGAAACCGGTGTGTGTGTAGATGGAACCACTAGCTTTTTTTGTATATCCTCAATGGTTATATCAGATGACACTTTCTGTGCGAACTCATGAATCCTGAATTAAAGGATAATCTCAGCTCTTGCGGATTGCAGTAAATAAAAACACAACATCACCTAAGTTCAGCTTCAACAGACATTTTAAAGGGTATCATGCAAACTGCATGTACAATGAAATTTTGTCTGTTGAATAAACCATGGAACAAATCATTTCTGAATTCTTTGTTAGCAGCCAGAAATCCAACAAATTTGAATACAACCATTTAATCATCCACAATGGATGCTAATCTTGTCAGAAATTCCAGGTGTCCCCATATGATTTGTAATAAATTTCTGTATTCTGTTTACCTCTTCAACTTTTCTCAATGTGATTCAGTAGTCAGTACCTTTACAACAGAGTGTAAATAAACCCCAAAGCAGTTAAGCAAAATAAACTTGGCACTCACTCACTGCTGGTACACCAATCCAAAAAATTGCAGTTTATTTTTTTTTCAAACATAGTTGAACAGTAAAACATAAAAGGAGTAGCTATGGTACATGGTAAAATTTTCCACCAAAGATTAGTTTTCCCTCCTTAAATATTGCTTCTGCTTCCTACCATTCCCACTCGTAGGATGATCAGTGGATTATGTGATAAGTTTACAAGATTGCATAAAACTAACTACACATGTACCATAGCCACTCCCAAATTATAACTGTATAATTTTTAGTTTCAACAGCTTTACTAGAGTTGTTTTTATGCGGAACAAACATTTGGTTTTCACTTTTGCAGTCAAAGTTGATTGCATAACAAAAGGAAACAATGAGAACTGAATGAAAGAGGAAAACAATTAACAGTAGAAGTGCGCAAGATTTACCTCCTCTCAGTGCTTTTATCAATAACAGGGAATGAGCTCAAGGGGATAAATGACGGAACTGATGTTTTTTCCCTAGCCACAGCACTAAGAGCACAATGTTTTGTACCTCCAGACACAAGCACTTTCCTCTTTTTGGTTATCACATCACTTGAGGAAAAACGGTTCACTGTACCAAATGATTTTTTGTCACTGGACAATGGGGCAGGTGGACAATCCTCAAGAAGCCGTATCTTAACCACCTTCTTGTTCATTCCATTTACATCGAAGGGCTTTCTCGTGACAGCAGGATTATCAGGAAATTTAATATGATCTCTTGTCGGGGTTCTAAGTTTAGGATCAATATCATGTTTCCTATGCAAAAATTACAAGATTTAGTCAGAAATTTGTGTACTTGAATAACAAACGCAACAATTTTATAAAAAAAAACTGAGAAATCATACAGGCAAAATATTAATATTCGGTTATTGGGAAGAAGGCCCTCCCACGCCCTTTGGAAATGAAATACACCATTGTCAACGAAGTCATCAAAGGCGATTTTCCTATGTATAGATTTGCATGTATTAGTTTAAGAATAAAGTTAAATAAATATCAACTCACAAAGAATGCATTCATGATCAACTCATAAAGAATATGCATTAGTAACCCACTTCCTGCAAAATATGAAAAAGAGAGAAATCCTTGCCTTGGCAAGCATCTTCTATGATATGCCTTGGGACACCGTCGGCACACAGCAAACTGTAGCTCCTTTTCATCCTTGTTTTCACCATACTTGCAAACATCACATTTGTGCAGTGGGCATGCAAATTTTACCCCACTGGCTATCTTTGTTGTATATTCCAATGCTTTGGCTTCATTTTCAGTAAAGAGTAACTGTGCAACGCATTTAGCATGGTAGAAATAACCACAATTCGCAGATGCACAGGGAAATACCTAAAAAATAAAAGCAATTTATCAGGTCAGAAGATCAAAAGAAATTCAGACAGTTTTAAAAGGAAGGAATAAATCACATATTAGACTTATAGAATAATTTTGAAGGAGTGCAATCAATTACTAATCTTGGAATTCCATAACAAAAGGGCTAAAAGAGATTAACCTCAGGAGTATCTGTTTTAGCTGAACCCAACCTCATGCATGCAAAACATTGATATTTTTCAAGCTCACAATTCTTGCACAAAAAAGGATTCAATGCCTGTAAATATGGGAAAGCTAAGTGAATGTTACCATCTAATATGTGTAAAACATGTGAAGTAAAAACGGTATCATTCATGAGTGGAAGATTCAGAACAGATACATCAAATTGACGCCTAGTGTAGCCTAGTGTTTGACAATCTTCACCAGCATCCCTGACGGCATGAAAAGATCTGAGGCACTTGCCTTCGCAGCTGCAAGAGTGTCGCAGAAATGCACATCACGATTGGTAAGTTATGAATGAATACATCACAGAGCATTTTTCACAGCAAACAAGTGACAATAGTTGAGGTTCAAGCCTCTAATATACAATCAATAAAGAACACATAAATTTTACGAGAAGTACAAAGAATGTGTAATTTTCTATTAATTCTGGCCACTGCATCTAATGCTGCACAAAGTCAATGTAAATCACTACAAACCGTCCACACCAAATGGGATTCACAAATTTAAGACAAGAAGCTATACCAATATATGATATACAAAATTTCAACTCGCACATAACCATACTAGATCTCCATTCATGCATCTTGAAGAGCTCCATAACAGCCCTCTCCAAAAGTGCTGCTTGGCACAATAGTGTTTTTTTTTACGCAATTAAAAAAAATTGACACAATGGCACAATAGTTTTAGCCACTAAGAATGTGTAATGTTTGCTCCCATCCAAAACATCCTGCTGTAAAATTGAGCAAAAAAAAACTTCCTCTACACCCAGAAGTTTTGCTACACAGCACATAAGATCTTCTCAAAGTAAAGTCCATCACCGGTCCCTAAACTTATACCGCTGTGTCATCCCGGTCCCTAAACTCGCAAATCGACCATTCAGGTCCTCAAACTTGTTCGACTGTGTCATCCCGGTCCCTAAACTTGCAGATCACTCGTTTAGGTCCTCCAACTTGTTCAGTTGTGTCACCCCGGTCCCTAAACTTGGATTTGAATATTATCTGGGTCAAATAGGACGGTCTAAAGACTTTATATTTAAAAATAATTCATAACTTTTTCATGTAAACTCTAATGAAGACAAACTTTATATCAAACTTGTAGCCCTCTACGCGATCTACAACTTTGTAGTTGAACTTTTTTATTTTTAAGTCATTTTTTGTCCCAAAATGTAATTTTAAAATTAAAATTTCAAAATCTATAAACATGCAACAATATTTTGGGACCCTAAACAGTTTTAATTAAAAAACTTTTCAACTACAAAGTTGTAGGTCGTGTCGAGGGCTACAATTTTGATATAAAGTTTGTCTTCATTAGAGTTCACATGAAAAAGTTATGAATTATTTTTTGATATAAAGTTTTTAGGCCGTCCTGTTTAGGGACCAGGGTGACACAACTAAACAAGTTGGAGGACCTAAACGAGTGATCTGCAAGTTTAGGGACCGGGATGACACAGTCGAACAAGTTTGAGGACCTGAACGGTCGATTTGCGAGTTTAGGGACCGGGATGATACAGCGGTACAAGTTTAGGGACCGGTGATGGACTTTACTCATTTTCTCAGGTTGTATACTTTTTACTCTTGGCATACATGTGTCAATAGCTTATGCTTTACTCAAACAAAATCGTGAGGATTTTTACTGATTAATTGAATAATATACCACACTTACAAGCACAATAGTGCTATCGATAAGATAAACATACAAATTATGTTTCAGCGAACAAAAGGGTGCACAACAGATCATATAGGTGGTGACAACAAATTATTCCAGGTGAGCGCAAAGTAGAATAACCTATCTTACTCACCCATTAAATCAATTATTTCTCCTTATTTTCTGTAGTTCATTGTACAGGAATTAAAAACCAAGGTTGCCAGTAAAGTGGCCAAATCCATAGCACAAGAATAACTAGTAAGTGGCAACATATAGGTATAGGAACGAAATTGTTGGTATACATACATTATTGCAAGATCAGAATTACGAAGTATGGTGCAGTTAAATCCAATTCTGCAGACTAATGGACACCAGTGTTTACTATTCCGTAAAAGACCGCAATTTCGGGAATTCCAGAAAATATTGGTACGAAAGTATCTAAAATTTAAACAAGTTTTGACTGAATTTGAATAAATTTTGGCCAAATTCACAACGGATTGAAAAAATCCAGCCGAAATTCTCCAAATTTCAATCCCTGATGGACACTAAGTTGTAAAGACAGAAAATCCAAAATATAAGACCTCTTTGAATTAATGAAATAAATCCATAGCCAGAATTGTAAACAGTTTCTATAACTTGACAAGAAATGTTTAATGACCAGTATAAATGTTGGGAGCAAGGTTCAGGAATTTCTAAATGCAGGAACTATATCTGTTTGCTGTATATAAAAATTATCCAAGAGCAAAGAAAAGGACGTGCACCTTGCAATTTCACCACCGTTATCACATAAAGCACAAACCAAATCAACATTAGCAGAACTCTCGCCTTCAGCGTTATCAGTCATATCTTCGAGTTTACAATTGCAAATTCTTGCTTCACTCTTATGCCTTTTATAAAACCTGTTTAAGCATCCAAACAGTATATTATTTAGCACTGTAATTGAAATTTACAATTATTTCTCTTTCCGTAGCATATTCTATAACATATGTTTTGCTTTAGTCAAATTATTCTGGCTGAAACAATACCAATAAATCAAAAGTAATGCTGTATGATGAGACCCTCATTAAAGTAATTAACTACAGAATGAAACTAAATGTTCTACATTGTTTGTTATAGAAACAGGATTCTTTTTTTCTCATAGCAAAGTTAACAACTGCCAAAAATGAAGTGCATTTCATCCAAATAAGCACTATAAACAGTACAAGTGGCAACATGTAAGTATATCTTAAATTAATAGGCTGTAGCTATGCCTGTCAAAGTTAAAACTACAAGTATGCAGAATACAAGAAGTTCCCACTTGGCTGCAAACAGGAGTATAAATTTAAAGCAGAGACCAGTTGACCACTCCATTGGTTATACAGACAGGCTCAAGGCATTAGCAGTTCATTGTAGGATGAAATGATCCAAACAATCATTTTCTTTCCAAAGAAATAGCAAATAGAAAGCAACAACCTTACACCCATGGACCCCACCTAGTAAGTACGAAGAAAAGCTCATCTAGTTCCTCCGGAGCGCAATATCCATGAAGAATATGAACAAGGTAACCTGCCTTCTCCACCAGAGCGCAATATCCATGAAGAATATGAACAAGGTAACCTGCCCTCTCCACCAGAGCGCAATATCCATGAAGAATATGAACAAGGTAATCTGCCTTCTCCTATCAGCCTCTAGTTTCTTTCCTTTGTTTTTTTAGTGCAGCCTCTAGTTTCTTACTATTTGTCATGCAAAAATTATGGCATGGCATAAACATTCCATCGGAAAGCTACAGACTCGGTTTACAGATGAACTTGAAACAGCACATCTGCAAATGGACGAACCAAAATCCACCCGACACATCCCAAAATTGAGGGAAACTACCAAACTGCAGGATCAGGATCCAAACCGCTTCAAATGGAAAAATATATTATACTTGCTTTTTTACGCCATCGACCAGGAAAAAAAAAAAGAAACACCGTGCATGATGTCTAACAGGGAGAACCGCTCGCCGAAGCAATCAGGCATGCCACACCACATGGCCACATTTGTGCACAGAAAGTGGATATGCGATTATTAAGAGTCTACGACATCCTTATTTCCCTCAGCTCATCTAAACTGAAAAATGCAGGCCAGTGAAGTCGGGAGTCGAACACGAGCCGCGGAAGCCGGAAGTGGAGAAACGCGTCAATGGCGGAAGCCGCGGAGCCACAAAACATTTCGGTGCCAGTGCGCCTCCGCCGACGCGTCGCCCACCTCACCGCTGCTCCACCGCCGGCTGATTCCGAGCGCTCCTCTCCGGTGAGGAGGAGACGAACCGTGAAACCAACCACGGAGGAAGCCAAGAGATCATCCGACGAAGCTGTGCCTCCTCACCTCAATCGATCAGAACCTTCCTCAACCACACCCAGAAAAATCTCCTCCCCGAAAAACCGCAAGCATTCCGCCCAAAAATCCCTCCCAAAAAACCGGAGCCAACCGATCACCCCCAAAATTCGCCACGAACAACACGGAAACGATCATCGAGCACGCATACCTCACGATTCGAGCAGCTCGCAGCAGGAAACCATCGGGATGCGCTCGCTAGGGTTTCGATCGCCGCGGAGAGACGAATCCGAATCCCCTCCTCCTGCACAAAACCCACAAGCCAAAAACCCAACCACCTCTCTCTCTCTCTCTCTCTCTCTCTCTCTCGCACAGAGATGAACTGAACACCACGCACGCTTTGAACGAAGTGGGAGAGAGAGAGAGGAGAGAGGGTCACGTCCAATTCATGCTCGCCTCTCTCTCCTCCTCACTTACCGACCCGCCCACCCACCACCTCACTGACAGATGGGCCCCACACCCGTGGGGCCCGGGTGGTCATGGGCTAAGCGTAGCCTCCATCGACGTGGGGAGGAGTCGCGGGATCCTCCGGTGGGGCCGACCTGTCAGTGAGGGTGGAACGGCTCCGGATGCATGGGGGTAGGGCCGGGCGACGTAGGCCGTAGGATAGGCCAGCCTTCCGGGGGCGTAGAGCTCGCGTGGGCCGTCGGATCGGGATGGGCTCTGACACGTGAGGCGGGGAGGCTGCGTTGCGGGCAGGTGGCCGTGCCGGTGAAAGGAACGGACGGTGGGGATTGGGTTGGACGTGTTTCGTGGACGGCGCGGATGGAGCCGTGGAGGAAGGTGCAGCGTCGGGATTCTTTTTACTGTGTGACCCCCTTTTTTGTCCCGTGGAAACGAGGCCGAGCTGAAGCTTTTTTTTTTTTACTGCTCCCTTTTGCCCCTTTCTCTCTCGCAGTAAGGGGCTGTTTGGCAGGACTCCTCTCCAAGAAAATAGCTCCATCTCCAAGTTTTTTTTTGCCAAACACGAGTAGTGGAGTAGCTCCGGCTCTTGAATCGCAGCTCCATCTCCAGGAATATTCTGGAGCTCCTCAAGGGGTACTCCACCAAAACCTGGAGTCATATGTCCTCATGGAGATGGTAAAAAATTACCCACCATTGCCATTGGTTACAAAAAAAACGATTCGCTTCTATTCCACAGTACCGTCCCGTTCCCGTTCCTCATTCGTGAAAAAAATGTTTCCACCAGAGCGCCGCCCGAGTCTGCAGGCAAATCGCCACCGCCGCCAACCCTAGAGCCGCCGCCACCGAGATGGCCGGATCCGCCTCTGTCCAAGATGGATCCGGCCTAGAGGAGGAAGTCCCGGCCGCCGAGATGACCATGGGCGCCGGACTGGAGCATGGCTATGGGCGCGGCTTCCCTCCTCCCGCAACCGGCCAGGGGCGCGGCTGCCCGCCTCCTGCTGCCGGCCAGTGGCGCGGCCAGGGGCGCGGCTGCCCGCCTCCCGCTGCCGGAGCCGCCCTGCACCCGCCTCCCGCTGCCGGAGCAGCCCTGGGGCACGGCTGCCCGCCTCCCGCTGTTGGAGCCGTCCTGGGGCACGGCAGCCCTGCCGCCGGAGCCGCCGTGGGGCGCGGCTGCTCACCCGCCGGCGCCGCACTGGGGCGCGGGTCCCAGCCGACCGGCGCTGCCCAGTAGCAAGCTCGTCCCCCGCGTACTGGATGATAGAAGAGCTTTTCCCCATTTCAAAGGTTGTATTGGTGCTCTTGATGAAACTCATATCCGTGTGTCATTGTCACCTGATGAGCAAATTAGATATATTGGAAAAACTGGAATTCCCACTCAAAATGTGCTTGCCGTTTGTGACTTTGACATGCGTTTTACTTATGTTGCAACGGGTCAACCGGGAGCTATGCATGACACAAGTGTTTTATACAATGCATTAAGAGTGGATGAAAAATTCTTCCCTCATCCTCCACAAGGTACCACACTTGTATTATGCTCTCTATTTGTGCTAACTGTGCATGTGTTACTAAAATGTATCAATAATCATACTATGCTATCTTTTGTAGGCAAATACTATGTTGTTGACGCAGGATATCCTAATCGTCCTGGTTATCTTGCTCCATACAAGGGTGAGAGATACCATTTACTAGAGTGGCACAGAGGTATGGAACCCAATACTCCAATGGAAAAATTCAATCGTGTGCACTCTTCCATCCGCAATGTTATTGAGCGATCATTTGGATTACTAAAAATGAAGTGGCAAATTCTGTACAAGATGCCGTGCTACCCCATGTACAAGCAAAAAATGATTGTTGAGGCTGCTATGGTCCTTCATAATTACATTCGTGAGCATGGAGGTGAGGATCCTGATTTTGCTAGGTTTGATCGTGACCCTAATTTTATTCCAACAATACCAGAACGGTACAACAAATACGCAGTTCCTCGAACGGCATCTGATGAGTCAACTCCCGAAAGAAGTACAGGAACTATGGATCTCTTCCGTGATGAACTAGCCACCGCTTTATCAATTTCTTGGCGCTAGATTTGTAAGACATAAGATGATAATGTATCTTTGTTGGACTTCAATTATGAACCTTTGATTAAAATGTGGTACCTTGTGCGGATTTTGCTATGTGCGGATTTTGCTCCCAACTCGTTTCTCAATTGTGGCAGATTTGCATGTGTTCCATTAAGATGTAAAATAAATATTACGATAAAAAAATTAGCTACTCGGAGGTGCAATTCCCTAGTACAGTAGCAGCATTGCCATGCGTGTTGCTTTGCACTCTGACTGTGCGCTCTCCGGTCTACTGTGTAGCTCGATCGTGGCCGTTTTGGCGTTTTGCTGCAACATTACCTCTCGCAGCAGGATTGAAATAGGTGCTTGCATCGTCTTGAAAAAAGTCTATTTTATAATTTTTTTTTTATTTTTTATTATAAAAAAATTAGCTATTCGAGCTAATTTTGTACCGTTCTTAAAATAGCTACTTGCATCGTCTTGCAACAAGTCTATTTTGTAATATATTTTATTTTTTATTATTGTTATGGCTGTGAGAAATATTAAACATCACTATATATTAGTAATCAACATCCATACAAGATCCATGGGCAAAACAGTCCTTTCACTCATCCTCCTACCAAATCTGGAGCTGGACCATATGTATTATTACCCAAACAGGTGCTAGCTCCAGGAGCTCCACGGTGGAGAAGATTTCCTGGAGAGGAGCTCATTTTTTTGTAGAGGAGCTCTCCCAAACAGCCCCTAAATAACTCCGTCGGCTTCCGCTTGACAGAAAGAGCCAAGCATTTTATTCTTCGCACTCGCAGTACACAATGGCATATTAACTGAATTGCAAAATATATTCATTTGGAGAATAAACTGTTGCATTTGGCATGTTGGGAATGAACTTAACAAGCAGACCAAATTAACACTAATGAGTCTGTCAGAACATATTTTCTACCACATCTGTAAATTGGCACGACTTACAGATATCACAGTTTAAAACTCAAATTTCAAACATGCTGCCAGAATGAAACAACATTACTATAAATATGAGCTTATTTGCCCTAACATTTCTCCTCTTTACTCCCTGGATCTAGTATTCCTGTTTAAAAAATACAATCAATAGCAATCATATTTCTAAGTTCTATAACATAACCATTAATTCATGCCAATCGATCTAAAATTGCCCCTAATAGAGGAACAGGAAGGAATTCATGATCTCAACCAAAAACTTGCCATTGAGGATGAAAATGAACTCATCGCTGCCCACATCTTCTGTATCTTAGACAAAATCCACTCCTTGAGCAGGGTACTCGTTAGTCTGGCTCCACCAAGTGTCCCGCCGCTTATCGTGGCGGCAAGCCTGCAACAGCGTGCGACACTGCTTCTCACAGCCCCACACTCCAACCCTGGGCTAAGCCATCGTACCTCAACACGTGCATTTGAGCCACATCCCTCTAACGCCGATATAGCCATCTAACTTGCAAGGACAACACCCTCCAAGCCCGCTGCCACCCTAGAATCACTTATTTCGACGGTTGCCATATGGTTCCGGAGAGGAAGGTTGAAAGGAAGGAGATGATGGATCCCTTCACGAGGAAGGGTGGCAGGAGGAGCGTCGCGCCGCATCAGCTTGGGAAGGGGAGGTGGTGAGGGGTATAGTGTTCGGGCACCGACAAAAGGGAGGGAAGAGGTATAGAGCACCGAGAGGCGTTGCCATTGGTGGAGAAAGGCAGAGCGGGCTGGAGAAGTCGGTGGCACGGCCACTACTAGGAGGGAGGAAGCGGATCTCAAGCGCCGCAACCACCGCTAGGAAGGAGGAGGAGGCTCTTGAATGGCACAGCCACCGCTAGGAGGGAGGAGTGAGGACCGGCATCGGCATCGCTGGTGCTGTGGTGTATGATACACAATAGGATAACAAGTGAGAGGCTGGGATTTTTTTTCCTCGTATATTTTTCCTTTTCGGATAAGGGGTGGTGGGGACTCTATATTTCTATATGTTTCTTTCCGCATACTACACGTGATTTTCTCTATGGTTCTTTTTTCAGATGGAAACGGGTGACTACTGATTTCTGCTGTACCATTGTCTCGGGATAATACTGATCTCTGTTGTACCATTCTCTTGGGATAACCAAAATCCCTTATAATATTGGACAAACCAAAGGGTCATTTATCCCCTGTAGTTGTGGACAGAGGGAGTACTTACATAAGCATTTTAAATTTGCAATGCACTCTTCGCCTAATCGGTGCGAGTAATAACCAAAGTTAACCAACTTAGCACGAGAGGTGACGTGTCATCCGACCAACCGCTTTGGCCTCTACCGCTAGTACTTCTCTTACCACTCCATTCATCACTGTTTCGGCCTTTCGAGCAAAGGCCCAGCTTGGAAAATTATGGTTAGACAAATAGGCCGCTGAACAAGAAAAATGTTCACTTTAGGTCTCTCTTCTAATAATTAGTTTTAAAAGATAAGGGATGTTTTATATCCGGTTTTATGATTAACGAACACAATTTAAACTCGATGCTTAGCTGAGGGATCTAAAATAAACTTTATCTGCCAAACAACCAACGGTTTGCTAATTGATGGCTAATCTTGTGGTATCTGGGCCGGGCCATTGGCTGATCCAACGTTGGCCCACTAATCACACTGCGCCGGCCTCAGCCTCGCCGCCGCCGGCGGCCACCGAAGATATCAGCCATGCTCCGGCGGTGAACTGATAAGTAGCCAGGTTTTGGCTCAAAGATGAAAATGTGTTCCTTGTCTGTAGCGTTTTTACCCCCCCTGAGAATATTCTTGAATCGCCAAACAATTTTCATTAATATTAATTAGCATTCGCACTGTCAAAACGTTTCAAGGGGCCTACGTTTAACCACACACCAATAGTTTTTTTTTCGCAAACGCGCAAAATAGATATTACACATCAGTATATTAGAAGAAAATAGAGTTGTTGTTACACAATGCAGCCGACCAGACTGGTCGTTGCCAGTTACAAGGAAAGGATTTCGAACCCAAAAAAGAGTAAAAACTAAAAGCTGTTGCTTCTATCTAGCGGGAGGGGGTGGCGGAGGAGGAGGAGCTTCCTAATCTCCAAATAGGTCCCCAATGAAGCGGATGGACCCCAGAACTATCGAGACCGATGAAACGGAAGAATCAAAAACCCTGGTGAAACGAAAGAATCGAAAACCCTAACGTTCCGCTCTTTCCAAAGCTACAGTAAACCATGAGGATTAGAGAGTCGAAACCTTACGAAGATGCGCAGGAAGACTAGCCCTAGCCGTCGGCCACCCGACCATTAGTTTTTGTTTTTGTTTTTACTAAGGGACCGCGAGTGTGCACCGTAGTTATATCATCTCGATATATAATTAACCAACTTTAATAGAAAATCATATATATTATCTTAAAACAAAACAGTTTTCGTTTTTAGCCGCCGGTTTGTTTCTACAGATCATGAGCATGCATATCACTGCCGATGCAGTATAAAATAGGGTTAATTTAATCCATGCCACTACAAATGTGGTAAATAAAAAAATGCCACTACTATTCGTGTTATCGACTGGGTGCCACTGAAAATTTTTAAAATTAAAATCATGCCACTCCCGTCATTATTTCCGTCCTCCTCTCTCACGCCGCCAACCTCACCGTGGTTGCCGCCGACGAGGTCGCGCGCCGAACGCCCATGGGACGAGGGGGCTCCGTGTAGGACGTTGCCCCGACCTCGCAGCCCTTTGCACCACCTTCCACACCCCACAACCGCAGCGAGGAGGATGGGCTTCCGGCGAGCACTAGGTTCCACACCGACGGCACCGCGGATGATGGGCTTCCGCCGCTGCTCCTCCCAATCCCCGTCTCCTCCTCCAGCTCCGTCGCCGCCAACCCCACCGACGAGGGCTGTCGCCGCTACTGCTCCCCTCGATCCCCATCTCCTCCTTTAGCTCAAGCGCCGCCGCCGCTCCTCCCGATCCCTGTCTCCTCCTCCAGCTCCGGTCGGCGAGGGCCGCCGCTACTTCTCCTCCCGCGCCTCGCGTGCACCATGCCACCGCCACCGCTACTCCCGCTCCCGCTGCTACTTCCACTGCTGCTGCTGGTGACGGTGAGGATGCTGACGTGAGGAAGGAGGATGGTAAAAGTGGCGGGAGTGGCATGGATCCAATTTTAAAAATTTTCAGTGGCACTTAGCCAATAACGCGAATAGTAGTGGTATTTTTTTATTTGCCATATTTAGAGTGGCATGGATCAAATTAACCCTATAAAATACCTTGTGCAATTCGCAACATGCATCGGATAAACAAGTAATCATCGACTAATCATACAAGCATATGACGGAAATACTCCCATAAAACTTAATCCTAACACAATGCCCCTACTATGTCCAAAGAATAAAATTATCCAGCAACCAACAATCCATGCAAAAAAAAAAAAGAATTAGAAAAGTTTCTTAGCATCAACACAGGAGCAGCAATCCAGCTGAGGCAGATGCAGCAAGAGCCAAGAAGTAGCCGGCAATGCCGGCGCCGCGGCGCGACGACGGCGGCGACGACGAGCTCTTCTTCTCGTCCGCCTTCGCCTTGGCGCTCGACGACTTCCCGGGGAGCGGGCTGGCGGCGTCGGAGGCCGGCTTGGCGTCCGGCGCCGGCGCCGGCGACGGCGCCATGGGCGGGTCGGTCCTGAAGATCTGCATCGGGAGGAGCACCCTGTCCACCTCGTAGACGGCGACGGGGCGGGTGGAGTAGACGCTGCTGCTGATCTTGGGGTTGGACCACATCGACCCGACATGGACGGTGCCCATGTCGTCGGTGACGTTGACCGTGTACTCGCCGCCGGCGAGCGTGGGCACCGGGCTGGCCGCGCCGCCCAGCCTGTTGAACTCGGCGAGGGAGTAGTACCTCGGCAGCGCGTGGTACAGCGCCAGCGACTTGAGCTGGTCGGAGGTGAGGTTCGCCGTCGCCGACCTCGCCAGCGACGCGAACGCCGCGTCCTTGGGGACGAACACCGTGATCCCGTCCTTGCTGCCGTTCGCCTGGCTCTGGAACGTCCTGAGCACGTCCGTCTTCTCCAGGAGGTCGAGGAACGTGTGGAACGGACCCGCCACGCTCAGGAGGTCGGCGAGGTCCACGTGGCGCGGCGCCGCCGGGGACGGCGCCGGCGACGGCGGGAGGCTCACGGCCGCCGCGGCGGGCGGACCCTTGTGCTTCTGCGCGAACGCCGGTGAGATGGAGGAGCAGCAGAGCAGGATGGTCACCATCATGGCTGCTTTGGATTCCATCATCCTCGAAGTCCCTGATGTCACGCAAGAACAGTGAAGTGAAGCATTCAGCACTGAATTTTTTTTGTCATGCGTTTCTGGAGCACAAGTCTGTAACTGCTGAATAGAATTACTCTTAATCTTGTGAATTCTACAGTGTTTACTGAACACATTTAGTAGAGTACTTAAGTTCAAATCAACATACAAGAGATCTGTAATGTTGTTCTGTATTCTGAAATGCCAGAAAACCAACTTCTTGTGCTTCAGATTACTACAGTTCGTGGTAATTCTGAACATTGAGAATTTTAACCAGGCTCATTATTGTTCAGATCTTTCTAGCTCCTAGAGCAGAGTTTTCAGATTACTGAAATTTAGCACAAATTAATGGCCCTTTCCCTGTCACCAAGAGAGACAAATGCACAAGATGGGGCACTTTCAAGACTCGATCTAGTCCGAATTGACAACTGCATTATACTACTACTTCAACTGTTAGGTGCCACCAACCAAATCAGGAGACCACATAATCTAACACAAGAACAAAAACAGTACTCCTACTACTACATCCTGCAGATCTCAGCACCACTGGAAGCATCCAAATCTCTGGAATTTGGGAGCCAAGAACAGTTAAGTGCTAAGCTTTGCATTAGCATTTCCCTTCAACCTGAAGGAACATAAACGCAGAGCACCAAGAAGAGACGCCAAGCTCAAGAGAGGCGCAAAGATCTGTTCTTTCCTCGGGCCAAGAACTGCGAGGAACAGATCCAAATGCGCCCTAAACAAATGGCTGCCTCCAAGACGACCAACCCATGAAACATCATACTGGAACTCATGGAAACCAAAAAATTAAGAGAAGAGATTCTGAGCATGGCATTGCAGCTGAAACAATGCTGAGGAGACTGACCTGAGCTGCTGAGCTGAGCAGGGAAGTGAAGGCAGTGAAGGAATGGAGGAGAGTAGGAGGGGAGTTAAGGAGGAGAGTGGCTATATAAAATGTGGGGAAAGTAAAAAGATAATGAAATCATGGGTGGCAGCTGTTGATGAGGATTGAGTAGAGGACAGAGAGGGCTCACTACTGTTTTCAGGCTTTCATCTGGAGAAAATAAAAAGATAGTAAATCCAAAAGAAGAACAGCTAAATAAAAGCTGGCCAGATAGGAGCTGCCCCTTTCTGTCCTGGCTCTCTGTTGTTTGTTTTCTGGGGGAGTAGGAGTAGATTGCATTTGCTTCTGGTGGATGATTAGTGATGGCATTAGCATCCATAAACTGCTGGTACTTTTCAGTGGCATTGCAATGCTTACAAGTAAGGAAGTTTCTTGCTTTTCCAAAAAAAAAAAACTGAATTGTTTGCTTCTTTGATCATCCTTTGCTTTAGTGTAAATAACAAAAGCAGGAGAGCTGGAATGTGGTGATCCAAAAAGGGTGATGTTGTAAAGATGAACAATGCTTGCTTAACTTATTGCTTTATCAAGTTATAAAGATGATCAATGCAACAAACCACCCAGTGACTCAGTGAGTTCATGTGATGTACTGACAAAAGCACTAATGTGCCTCTTTTGGCCTTCTTTATAAAATCTAGATAGCAGGATTCCTCAAACTTCCTCACCAGCTCTTTTGTTTGGTCATCGTGTTGTCAGCCGCAGCTAAAATTTATCTAATTTTAAACTTGATTGTTATGTTTTTATTGTAATTTATTTATAAGTAAAATGCACCAACGGTCTTTAAACTTTCCAGGAGGTTTCACTTAGGTCTACGAACTTGCAAAGCGCACATCGAAGTCTCTAAACTTGGTTTATTGTATCATCCAGTACCAAAGCCGCGTTTGACCGTGGTCTTGCCTACATGGCATGCCACATGGACGATGACATGTAATTTTTTTTATTTTTTTCTCACTCCTGTGCAACCGAGCCGCCGCCCTCTCCTCTCCTCTGTGGGCGCGCGTGCCACCGCCATCGCACGCCATGGGCGCCACCGCTACCGCGGTTTCGCCGAGCCACCATGTCGGAGGTGAGCACGCAGGGGCACCCTCCCCTCGGGCGCAGCCGGCGACACCTCCCCCCGCGTGCACCAAGCTCGCCGATGCCTCCCCCCGCGCCCGCCGCCGCCCTCTTCGCCCCACAACTCCGGCGCTGGCCCCCACGTGTCCGTTGTCGGCAACCCCTCCCCCTGGGCGCGGTCGGTTCAAGCTCGCCCTGCCGCCATCGAGCTCGCGCCCGCCCTGCTCGTGGCATCGCCGTCCTTTTTTTCTTTCCGCCGCACACCGCCGATCTCTGGCCACTCGTCGCCACGGGGGCGGCAACGTGACCAGCTGCCTCCCAAGGCCGACCGCGAACGCCTCCTTGCCGAGGAGGTCCTCTACCTCCACTCCCTCTGGTTCTGCGCCGCCCTTGCTCCCGCATCGACCGGCGGAGGCACGAGAGAGAAAAAAAAGGAAGAAGGGAGAAAAAAATAAAATTATTCCATGTCATCGTACACGTGGCATGCCATGTAGGCAAGACCACGGTCAAACGCGGCTTTGGACCGGGATGATACAATAAGCCAAGTTTAGAGACCTCGATGTGCGCTTTGCAAGTTCGTGGACCTAACTGAAACCTCCTGACAAGTTTAAGAACTGTTGATACATTTTACTCTTTATTTTTTATAGTGGCTTTTAAACTACTAAGGACACATATAAAAGTTTTATACATAAATAATTTTTTGATCGTTAATAAGTGTTATGACATAATATAATCTGTTGTAGGCGAAACATGTGCTGAACAGCAAAGCACTACTGAATTCATTCTATTTGTTTAGGGAAAGGAAGAGTGTGACAAACACACCATCGGCAATTTTCCTGAAACAGACCGGACACCACCATTAAAAAAATCGAGGGTAGAAGAAACCTGCTGCTTTTTCAGAGTTATTGTCTGGAGAATTTTAGTTCTGAATAGAACCTTCAGTCTTCTGAAGGATGCTCAACTGCACATGCTTAATACAGCCATATAAGTAACAGCTTATGCATTGCTGTATACCACTAGAAGTCATACAAGCAAAATGTAGTATAAGATTAACATGTCTTATGTCTCCTCTCTTTCTTGCCTTCTCTTCTCCTTTTCCTTTTTTTCTTTTTTTTTTTCTTTCCACACGATTGACAGTGCATGACAGTCTGAAACTCTAAACATTCCTGAATCTAAATTCTGAAGTTCTGAACTACTACCTCTAACTCTAATTCGACAAGCTCCATGTAATTAAGCTCTAAACTGGATGTGATTACGTGAGGTCGCAGCAGATTGTGTCGGTGGAGGACCAGCTGCCTGCCCTGACGGTGGCTCGTATCCGGTGTAGTTAAGTATAGTACTTAATCAGACAAAATTTGCAGAGTCATTAGCTGTTTCCGGCGGTAGGTGAGGAAGGCTTGATCATGAAAGGGGACTTAGCATGCATTTCTTGAGCTGTCATGCTCAGCTGGGCTCTCAATTCTCAAGCTTAAACCAAGCATTACTCCTATAACTTACTTTGCAATCGACATAATCAAATGGCTTGGAAATGAGGATCACATGGTGTACAAAAGCAGAATTAGTGAGAATGTAAAGCCCAGCATGCCGAAATTAAGCACAAGTTTTTTCTTCATGGACACAATCACATGCTGTATCATTCCACATTGTACTCCTACTCAACTCTTGTTTTGCTTTCCCTTCAGTTTGAAGAAACCAGAGCGGCATCTGTGTTACTGCACTTTAAGACTGCCATTAATGACCCACAGCAACTTTCAATTTCTTTAACCTCTCTCTTAATCTTGGAGTAGGAGTACTAGTACTAGTGTTCCAGGTTTTGATGCTCTCTTGGACCACTTGAAGAGCAGAGACCTTGGTCCTTGTTCTTGGCCTCTTGGGGCCTTTCAGTATGCCTCCTCTGCTTTTCACCAACTACCACAAGAGTACAAGGTTTACTTGATCTGCAAAATGCACACTTCTTTATCTTCATCTTTGGTGTTCTTTTCCAGATTAAGTTTTTTACGTGGGTGATATTAACGTATGATTGATTGAGTTTTAATTATTATAAACTTGAAAAATAGATTAATATGATATTTTAGAGCAATTTTCATATATAAAGTTTTCGCACGAAACACATCGTTTAGCAGTTTGAAAAGCGTGCCATAAAAATCTCAATCTTCATCCAACTTTTGTTGGAGAAGAGAATAGGATTGGTTGAATCTCCTGAAGATATAGATGAAGGTAAAGATTAAGTGTTTTACGTAAAACGATGTGGTAATAGCGTGTGATTAATTGAGTTTTAATATTACAAACTTAAAAATGGATTAATCTAATATTTTAGAACACCTTTCACATATAAAGTTTTCGCACAAAACATACCGTTTAGTAGTTTGAAAAGTGTGCCACGAATATGCAAAACTTTATCTTACTGGAAATGAACAGGACAGTCCTATCAAAATTATCGGTTTGTGTGCTACGAAAATTATCGGTTCTCCTATCAAAATCACACAGTTTCGGATGCATTGCAACTCTATCAAAACTTCCAGCAAATTGAACAAATTGTGAAGCACTGACTGCTCCTACCACTTCAGGCTTGTCGTAATAGTTGTAGCTCCCATCCATGTGATGCCTGAAGAGCATTCAAATGCGGGTTTGAGACGTCCCAAGCATAATTACCGGTTCAATTATTTGGCCGCTAATGAACTAGTAGCTCTGTCCCAAAATATTGCTGCATACTAATTGGACTATTGGTTCATATTCAGATTCATTATACTGTGATGTGTCACATCCAATACTATGTAACAACATTTTAAATCAGGTTAGTACTATTTCTGATTTTTTTTCTCTCTCTGTGTTTTTGCTCTCTTCCAAGCCATGCCAAATCGGCAATCAGCGGCGTCCGTTTCGTTTGTTGATCGCAACGTAGTAGTACTACAACTCTAGTACGTGTGGGTACGACGAGCTAATCCTGTGTTGCTTTTGGTACTGGACTGGACGCCGTCATACTGGATTGGATGCGCCGTAGATGAGGTAATGTGTTGTTCCTCACGGACCAAGCAAGAGCAACCAACTGAGCAAGAGTGTGTTCTAGACTTGGATTGGCCCATTTATTGGACAAAGTTTGCCTATGGGCCTACGTCAATCTGGCCCATCTGGATCAAAGCAAAACCTCCACAAATTCAGGATGCGTCTGCCATTATAAAGTCCAAAATTGTGGTACTGATGGAAACTTAGAGCAAAGTATAGGACGTATGTGGTAACTTCAATTTTAAGATAAAAATAAGGGTACGTTTAAAATAAAGTTAAGTTATAACTTTTCCTGACACTACTATAGAAAACCTAATAGATGTTGGGAATCTCACATAGATATCGGACTCTCCAACCGGTAACACGAAGACGGTACGATGAGGGGACTCATCGCAGCCGGATTGGGAATCGGCATCTATGGGGAGTTCATGACTAAAAAAGCATCGGGCCCGACTCGATTCATCAAGACGAGTTGATTGCTTCGAACCAAGATCAATATTCAGAAATTGAGCCTCAAAATCATCGCAAATCCAACTGCAATGAATCAGAATCATCCCAAACATTACAAACCCATACCATTCATACAAAACAAAATAACAAATCAATACATGGAAGCCTAATTGTCGTAGCCCACCAAAGGCCAAGGCCACCGCCGCCGCCGCATCTCACTGGAGGCTGAGGTCGTTACCGCCGCCCACCATCATCACTGCTCAAAAATCCAATAGGCCATGACCAAATCTAGTGGGTGGTGGGAGAGATCCGGGAGGGGGATTTTGGGGGATAGGACGAGGTGTATCTGTCGTTGTTGCTCGACCGCAATTACCACCATTAGATCGGGTCGGGGAACTATCGTTGTCGAGCTCACCGTATCGCTTCGATCTCACTGACCTCGAGCTTGTGGCAATTAGATCTAGCAACCCTGACCTTGTGGGGACGCAGGGCCAAGGGGAGGGCACCGTGTTGTGGATAGGTTGCCACAACCATCGTGATGAGGGTGCCACTGATGAGGCGCATTCGTGGTGAGACCATGAGAGTGGCGTTGCCCGAGAGGAGGGTGCCACCACCGTGGAGAGGTCTCCATCGCCTTGAGGATGGCGCCGCCGCCGAGGCGCCGTTGTGGGGAAGGTGCCTGCCGCTGAGGAGAGAATCACGCGTTGCTGATGACTCGGTAGAGAAAAGCGAGGAGAAGCTGAGGAGAAAAGAGCGAAGAGCTGAGAGAGAGTGTGGAGAGAAAAGCGAGGAGATGCCAAAACCGGAAATGAGGTGGGTGATAGATAAGTCAGGGCGAACGGACCATGGCTTAGCTCAGCTTGGTGATTTAATGTTTCGGGCTTTTTTTTTAAAAAAAACCCAACACATATAATATGACAACCTTATATATACAGGTTTTTAATACGAACCGGCACATATAGATACTTATATGTGCTGGTTTTAAATTTTAGCCTTATGTGAGATGTCGGATAGACGGGAAAAGCTTCATATGTGTCGGTTTTAAATGAACCGATACATATAAGGGTGTCCCTATTAGGGGTTTTGTAGTTGTGCGATCTTTCTTTCTTTTTTTTAATAAGGAACAAGGGCATCTTTTCTTTCAGAATTTCCCGTAATTATTTGGTTAATGTATATATTTTCATTTAGAAAAGAAATCCAACCATATGGGCCGAATCAAATGGCGGAATGCACAAGCAAGCAACCATGTACATACGCACATTACAGCTGACAGCGTACAGCATGCTCAATCGCGAACCCCTGGTGGTTTTCTTTCGGCCTAACATAAAACGCAGCGGCAGCCCATCGTTCTCGTTGCCTCGTCGGCCGAAAGTTCCATGCTTGTCGCCGGGGGCAACCCGGCAAAGCCACCGCATTTCGCTCCCACGCGGTCACACTGCCAAATGCACCGTGCCGACCTTGACACCTCTGCCCCGCTTTTTTTTGATTCCCAACCGCCGTCCACCACCTCCAAACTCCAAAGCCCTTTGCTCTAGCTATTTCTTTTTGTAATAATGAAATATAATCTAGGTCGTTACTCAAATAGTTACGATCAATTATTACACCAATTCAATCGAACACAAACATATCTTAACAAGTTATAAAAAATACACTCATTATTCTTGCATAATGACACTCAAAAATAAATAAATTATCCATATTTTCTTATTATTTTAAACTCTCGAGTTAAGCTGTTATGTGTTTATAACTCGACATGATATCAGAGTTCAATGTCTCGAGTTCAAATCCTGATTGTTTTTTAATAAAAGTTACAACCTATTTATATTCACTAAAACCTCGACATGATATCAGGCTTAAGGATTCTCGCGTGAGAAAGAATGTTGGAATATAAGTGAATTGCATGTCTTTTCACATCCGCTTAAATTTCTATTCATGGTAGAGGTTTTAGTGACCCACGCGTGAACAAAGGCAGTGTTTGTCAAATGGGAAAGGGAAATAATTTCCCACCCATTTTTAAATCCTAACCATTCATTCTCCCTTTTCCATTTAACCCAAACCCTTCATTCATTTTCCTATCTTAATCCCACCCCTCATTTCCCATTATCTAAACACACCCAAAAGTGTTAGAAACCATGACACCCCCAACTGACACTAACTCCGTGTCTCCGCACATCCTTCATTCGCCCACAAATCTCACGCCAAAAAAAAAAAAGAAAAAGAAAAACACGGCGAATCCCGTGAAATCTTCGCTTCAATTCGCTCCCAAGCACACACGCCCCGGCGGCGGCGCCCGTAGCATCTCTGATCTCTCTCAGCCTTTCAAAAACCATACGCGCGCACAAACGCGCCATCTCTCCATCTCGCCGGCGTCGCTATAAAACGCGGCGATCACGCTTGCATCTCACTCACACAACAAACCACCCCCAAGATCAAGAACAACAACAACAACAACAACATTTGTCAAGATGAGCGTGGAGATCGTGGACGGGAGCACGGTGCGGAGCTTCGTGGACGACGAGGCCGCCTTCAACGCGTCGGTGGACGGGCGCTTCGCGGCGCTGGACGCCGACCGCGACGGCGTCCTCTCCTACGCCGACATGTCCGGGGAGCTCATGGCGCTCCGCGTGCTGGACACCCACTTCGGCGTCGACGACGGCCACGGCGGCGCCGACGACGGGCTCTACCGCGGCCTCTTCGCCCGCTTCGACCGCGACGGCGACGGCAAGGTCGGCCTCCACGAGTTCCGCGCCGAGATGAAGGAGGTCATGCTCGTCGTCGCCAATGGCCTCGGCTTCCTCCCCGTCCAGATGGTCGTCGAGGATGGCAGCTTCCTCAAGGTGGCCGTCGACAGGGAGCTCGCCAAGGCCGCCTAATTCAATAACCTAGCTAGCTAATTAACCACATTGAACTAGCCCACGACGATTAATTTGAGTACTTTGTTTGGTAAATTTTATTGAATTTGGTGTTAATTTGGATTTGAACTACTGCATTGTTACAATCTTACGGAGCACTGCTCCCTCTGTTTCATATTATAAGTCGTTGACTTTTTTCTGAGTCAAATTTATTTAGGTTTAACCAAATTTATAAAAAAAATATATTAGCAGTATCTATAACACCAAGTTAATTTCACTAAATACAACATAAAATATATTTCGATAATATGTTTGTTTTGTATTAGAAATATTATTATATTTTTCTATAAATTTGATTAAATTTAAAAGGTTTGATTCTGAAAAAAATCGAAGCAACTACAGTATAAAATGGAGTAAGTACTTTTGTTATGAAGAAGAAGAAGAAAGAAACAGATCAGTCGATCGATCTATATATAGTTAAAATTAAGAGGCATTAGGGAATGATGATTAATTTAACTGTTCACTGTTGTATACATCGAGGTTCAAGATTAATTAAGTAAAAGCTGCAGTACCTTCACAAAATTATACTCCTTACTCCTTAGCATAGAGCTGATCGATGGAGCGTATAAAAATTTAACTTTACATACAGAGACCAAATTATATGCAATAGGATTAATTTGCCGCTGTTCCGTTCTGCCAAACTGCAGGCAGAACCATCGCTGCTGAGAATTGCTTTCCTTCCTTCGTTCGTTGTGCTTCAGATCCTGGACGGGATGAGCGGCGTCGAATTCGACAGGTACGCCGCCGCCGCCGCCACGCCGGAGCCGAGCTTCACCGGGTAGCCGATGTCCTTGAGCACCATCTCCACTCCACTCAGGGCACCCATCAATTGCAGCTGCAGAGTTATGGAGATCAATGAGATGAGTCAGATGTTGCTGCAATAATTTTCATCTGCAAATCGATCTGCAGAGTTGTGTGTGTACTGACCTCGTTGAGGTGGCCGAGGTGGCCGATCCTGAACACCTTGCCGGCGACCTTGTTGAGGCCGAGGCCGAGGCTGAGGTTGTACCGCTTCCAGGCGTGCTTCACGATCTCGGCGCTGTCGATGTACGGCGGCACGACGACGGCGGTGACGGTGTCGCTGAACCACTCCTCCTTCTGCGTGCAGTTCTTGAGCCCCCACGCCTCCACGGCCAGCCTATATATGCACATCACGCCGTCAGAATCTCACGTTCAAAAGTTTGACCGAATCTTGTTCTAAACGTCAAAATGTTCTTCCTCGGTGACCGACCTGGTGGCGGTGCCGAGGCGGTTGTGCCTCTTGATGACGTTCTCGAGGCCTTCCTCGAAGATGAGGTCGAGGGCGGTGCGGAGGCCGTAGAGGAGCTGGATGGATGGGGTGTAGGGCCAGTAGGTGCCCATCTTGTAGAACTTGAGGTAGTCCTTCCAGTCGAAGAAGACCCGCACCGACTTGGCCGTCTTGCTCGCCTCCAGCGCCTTGGGGCTCGCGCACACGATGCCCAGACCCGTCGGCAGCGAGAGCGCCTTCTGCGAACCCGTCAGCGCCACGTCCACTCCCCACTCATCCATGCGGAAGTCCAACGCACATATCGATGACACCCCGTCCACCAGTAGTAGCGCCGGGTGCCTGTGCTTGTCTGCGCGTATCGTCGTCCATCGTTGCCATGGATGAGCATGAGTAATTCATCAAGAGAAAGAAGACAAGAAAGTGATAAAAAGCTCAAGATGTTACCGAGGATTTTGCGGACGGCGGAAAGGTCGTTGGTGACTCCAGTGGCGGTCTCGTTGTGGACGATGCAGATGGCCTTGATGGAGTGGGAGGGGTCCTGGCGGAGCTTGTAGTCGAGGGCGGCGAGGTCGGCGCCGTAGCCCCAGTCGCTCTCCACCACGTCCACGTTGAAGTTGAGGCGTTGCTGCTGGTCGATCCACAGCAGGCTGAACTGCCCGATCAGGAACGACACGATCTTGTCCCCCGGCGACAGCGTGTTCGTCAGCGCGCTCTCCCACGCCCCCGTCCCTGCAAGCAAGCAATCAATCAATCTTCGGGCGCCACCATAGATAAAAGGTGTAAATGGTTAACCTACGATCCCACTTATAGATTAAAATAAACCGTAAACCCATTTATTGACCTGTAAGCGGGTTTGCGGGTTAGCCAGTTAAAACCCTTAGCTATGGACGTGGTCGATCGATGAAGCTAGGTAGGTAGGTTGGTTGGGTTACCGGTGGTGGGGAAGAGGAAGGGGGTGCCGGTGGTGGTCTTGAAGATCTGCTTGACGTCCTCGAGGAGGGTCTTGGTGAGGGCGGGCACCGCCGGCGAGCGGTAGTCCTCGTTCTGACGGCTCATGGCGCGGATCACCTGGTCCGGGATGTTCACCGGCCCAGGCACGAACAGGTGGTTCCGCCCCGGCCCATACACGTAGTCCGCCATCTCCCTGCCCACACACACACACACAAAGGCCCATCAGGCCCAAACAAAAAATAATTATTCGTCCCACAGCAATAAAAACTCCTGCCTAATATAACCTTCTGAAAGTGTTCTTTGAAAAATGACTAGTGATAATCTCATCTTACTATCTTAGTTGTACTATATACGGTTTGTTAATTGTTTTGCTCTAATTATCCGACTATATAACATAGCAAACATATAATTAATACATGGCTTTAGTTAGACATAACAGTACACTACTATCTCGAAAGAAAAACAAAGGCAGGAGTACTTGCTAGTACTAGTTGTCACTAATAACGCAGAAGACGTTATCAATTTGGACAGTTTCACTTATCCAAGGAAACCATTAGTCCTTTCTTCCTTTTTTTTAATTAAAGAAACGACTATTAGTGCGTGCTCTGATCCTACTTGGCAGATTAACTCGTGCTTATCCAGAAGAAATCAATTCATGCGGCTACTGGCTCTCTGTTTTGAAAATTCAAGTTGCTAGCTCTAGACAATAACAAAGCAAAATTTCTCTGAACTTAGTCTAAGTTTCAATTTCTTCTTGCACATACAAAATCCAACCATATGGCTAAACTGAATTTACTCATACACCTACGATCATTGAAGATCTAATAGAAGACGCTAATGGAGATGGATGTGTGTACCTTGTTCAGATAAAGCCTCCTCGATCTTGTGCTGATGATTTTTTTTTTCGCACGTAATACGTGCGAAGGAGGAGGCAGGGAGGATGGATAGGGTGCTGAAGAAGGCTATATAGGGAGCCATGGTGTCCTTTCGTGGGGCCCACACCCGTCCGACGTGGCAGATAAGGGGCCTTGCCGGTGCCTTCTGTTCGTGAGGCCCTCGTAGCTCGCCTCATGGAGTGGTGCTTAGCTGCTACTTAGCTCTGCTCTAGCTCTAGCTGCAGCCATCACTGGCATAGCATGCTAACAAAGCGCACGGATTTTGACAGTGTGTAACGACTACTCATACACAGTAATCTGGCTTCGTCAATCCCATGTATATGTCCTGTTTATCGTCCCAATTTTATCAGATGTCTGCTTAATTTCCCTGTATCTGATAAGGTGTTAGCTGCACCAGAAATTATTTTTCTTTTTTCTTTTTTGTTGAAAGCTTTGCATCAGAGATAATTAGTTAAGCAAGCTGCAGAGGTGATCCTACTGTTTGAGTAGAAATTGGAGCTAGAAAGGGGAGAGAAATAATAATAATCCGGTTTCGCTTTGCTTGCTGGCTGGCTGAGGCGATAGAGCTGTATGGCCTGTGAGTTAGTGAGTGAGTGAGAAAAATGACAGGTTTGGTTGAGTCCAAGCAGAGCCAATCTGCAAGCCAAGGGCGCAGGAGCGTCCACGTCGGATGTTATCCCCTACCATCTCGCTTTGCGGTGTCCGTGGAAACCCAGCAATTTTTTTTCCTTCTCCCTTCGTTTTTATTTTCAGAGGTGAGGTCAAGACAAAAGATGATGTTAAATTGTATCGCCATATGCTTGGAGAAGGTTGAGAGGGAGAGGATGACGGCGAGGCCACAAACGAACAGATGGGAGGAAGGTGATAGCTAGTGTAGGTGGAAATGGAATCGAGCTGTACCAACGAGATTTTATCGTGAGAAAAATCGGGTAATTCACTTTTTACTTTGATATTTATCGCTTTCGTATGAACTTTCTCCTTTAAAACCTGAAAAAAAATCAGGCGATTCACTTATACGCTTTGATGTTTTTCGCCTTTGTATGAACTATGTTGTGTCTAGGTTGGCTTTAGCATGTCCGTTGATGCAGTGACTTGAGTGAGGCTGTAGCTGTAGCTGAAGCCGAGAAAAGATTGAATTCTGAAATATGAACCTTTTGCTCGTTATTCTGATGAGTTCACGGTATCTGTTCCATATGTTACAGAACCTGGGCTGTGTATATCCATTGTGGATGTAGAGGCCGCATTTTAATCTATTTTCTAAAGAAAATGTTACATAACCTGAAAAGTGGGCTACTGGGCTTTTTTTCTTAATTAGACGCATAGCGCATGTTCAGACATACGAAGTCTGAATACTGATCATATGTACTCTCAAGGAAGAACCACATGCAAGTGATACCCAATTGGGTATTAAAGTTGTGTTTACAGCTAAAAGGCTTAAAGAAAGAAAAGTTCAATTTTTATGCCAGAACGAAAAAATGGAGACTTTCAAACTGTAGCCTTCAAAAATAAGCCCTCCCAACCGGGCATGAAGTTTCTTTCGGTTCTATCGGTCATTCGGTTGGCTAAGAGTTATTAGGGGAAGAAAAAAAAATTTGTGTGTAAAGACAATGTTAAAAAAGAAACACGTTGACAATATCGTAAAAATAATTCTAAAGTTAACTTTTCAAATTCAAATTTTGGGCTGATTCGTTGTAGAGAAAAAAACAATGAGGCCCTTTCTGTCTTAAAACTAGTCCTTTCTTTCCTCAGCCTCTCCATTTGGTAACCAAGAAAGCTACTACAACGGTCGGCCAGGGAGCAATTCATAGTCTCTGAATTTTGAACATGGACTAAAAACCTTGCTCCCCATGAACAAATTCTTCACCTTCAAATCCCAACCAGCTTCCAAGTTTGTTTCGTTGGACCCCAAAAAGGCAGAAACAAATTTCGTCTCCGACGGGTCCATTTTCGCAGGAGGAAACATCTGCATTTCTTTGTGGCTCAATGATTGCGTCGACAAATCCTACGCCCAAATTCCAGAACTGGTCACCTTGGAACATGCAAAAAAAGAGCAAGGGAGAGAGAAAGAAAGAAAGAAAGAACGAGAAAGCAAAAGGGTGGTATAGTGCAGAGTGCAGAGGAGACCGTGGACCAAGAAGATTCTGCATGCCATGCGGATATACGGATGTTCTCCTTTTCCTACATATAGACAACGTATTAGCAGCACTATCACTGCACATGAACAAATCCATCAAGAATTGAAACAGGATCAAGAACTGAATCAGGATCATGCCTTGATCATGCAGGATTCACCGGACTGAAAAAGATGGATTTTTTTTTGAATGCGACTTAACGAAAAACTCTCTAACTTTTCTTTCAATGATGGAAATGGTTTATATTTCTGGTCTCTGCTAACGGTCACGCGTCGAAGAAAACCTCTCAACATGACTATGTTTACATACTTCTATTAGGCTTCCTTGCAAACACATGATTGAAAAAAAAATCATATGAAGAAATGTAGGATTTTGGTAAGAACACAAGTGCAAAACAGATGATTGCAAAACATACATGGAAAAAAATAGAATGATCATTTGAATAGACCACGGGAAAAATATAAGAATCAGATGAGACATATAGACTTGAATGGAAATTTTCCAAAGAGATTAGAGCTCTTGCTAACCCTCTTTTAAAATCTCTATGGAATTGTTCATTTCATATGAATTTCAAATAAGAGATGTGATTCAATCATTTATTTCAAAAGCTTCCTTAGCATTTTGCCTTTGAAATCCCTGAAATTTCGTATGTTTTTACCGGGAGTACTGCAAATGAAAGGGGCCGATTTCAGCAGCAATGCTGCTGGCCTGCTGCGCGCGCGCAGCACTGAACCGAGCACACGCATCATTATGATCTCTTCTACTACAGATCAGGAGCACAACATCACAAATATATTCAGAACTGATAATCCAGCTTCTGCTGCTACTATGATCAAAAGGTGTTTGTGCTGTTGTTCTACTATGCTCGCTTGGCATCGGATGCCTGCCCTGCGGCCCCTGCCTGCCTCTCGTCGCGAGACAGACAGGCATGATGGCGCTGCAAGCTGCAAGCTTAGGGCTGGTTTAGTCCCCAAAAATTTTTCTTAAAAAATATCACATCAAATCTTTTAACACATACATAAAACATTAAATATAGATTAAAAATACTAATTGCGCAATTAGGAGGAAATCGCGAGATGAATCTTTTAAGCCTAATTAGTACTCCCTCCATTCCAAATTGATCTACATATAGTTTTTTTAGGTTATTCCTAAATGATCTACATATTTGTGTTCATTTATTAAGTCTACTCGTTATTTGTGCATTGGAGTAAATGGACATTGATGCATGCATCCATGCACACAAGTATTTATAACCCACATGCAATATCTTGATTTGCTATTGGCTGGAAAATATTAGGGATGGTGCATGTATCGAGTTTGTTGCTAGAGTAAATATAGTATGAGAGAGTTATTAGCCTTTCTTGGTCTTGGTGTATCTATAAAATATGTAGATCAATTTAGAATTGAGGGAGTACATGATTAGCCATAAGTGCTACAATAACCCACATGTGCTAATGACGGATTAATTAGGCTTAAAGGATTCGTCTCGCATTTTCCAAGCGAGTTATGAAATTAGTTTTTTCATTCGTGTCTGAAAACTCCTTCCGACATCCGGTCAAACATCCGATATAATACCTAAAAAATTTTCTTTTCGCGAACTAAACAGGCCCTGACTGATACTACCATACTACTCCTACACAAAAATATGGATTTTTTCTTTTTATTTTGTGAAATTTTTTATTTTTAATTTTAAAAATAAAATCTTCAAAAACTTATTTTGAGATTCTAAACTTATTTCGAGATCACATTAGTCCGTCTGACGTGAAAAAAAAATATTGACACTGCACACAATTCAGCTGACGTGGCCTAAAGATTCATGTCTTGAAAATAAGTTTTAAAAGAGTTTATTCTTAAAATTTAAAATTAAAAAGGTAAAAAAAATCCAACAGCATGGCCATGCAATGTAGGCAGGGAAAATATGTAATGCAAACCACGTATATAGTGAAAACTTAGAAACTACCGTTGGATCGAGAAATGGACGTCCGAGATCGTCCACGTCACCATGAGTTAAAATTTAACTCCCAATAAAATTTTAACTCATGAGTGAATCCACGAGTTAAATTTTAACTCATGGTGACGTGGACGAATCTCGGACGTCCATTTCTCGATCCAATGATAGTTTCCAAGTTTGCACTACATACGTGGTCTGGACTACATATTTTCGTAGCAGTAGAAACCAGAAACGGTAAACACTGCAGCTGCCTGCGAGCAGCGTGAGGCACTGTTCGGTTAACCTTAAAGAAAGTGGAAATAATTAAAGGGAGTTTATTTCGTACATATGATCGATGATGTAAAATTCTGCGTTCGTCCAACTCCTCTCTTTCGTTTTCCGCACGCACGTTTTTTTAACTACTCAACTGTGTGTTTTCGTAAAAAGATTGCTATACGAAAGTTATTTAAAAAAATCATATTGATCTATTTTTGAAAAGAATAATTAATACTTAATTAATTATGCGCTAATAGATCGCTCCATTTTTCGTGCGGAGGGAATGGTTTTCCATAGGGCCGGGGGTGGTGCACGGTGGACTGGGTGCAGGGGGGGTTGTGTACGGCGAGGAGGTCTGGGACTCTAGGAGACTGGGGTGGTGGTGCGCTTCTGCCAACTCGGGGCCGGGGTGGTTGCGTTTGCGTCTTGCGGTGCCAACGCCCTTGCGCCTTTTGCGGTTTGGACCCTCTCCGGCACTGTGGCTTCTGATGGGGTTTTACCCATTTTCTTTTTCTCCTCTTTCTAAAAGTTTCTCTTCTGTGTTGTGTATGTTTGGTAGGTTGACCTGTGTGAGTAGCAAGGTGTGATAGCTGACCTTTTCTTCTTTTTTTTGAGAACTCTGACCTGGGTTTTTCGGCTCATTTTCTAAGGCTTTGTGAAAGTTTGGAACATGCCAGCGTTTTTCACGTGTTTTTCAAAATTAATTTGGCCCAAATTCGTATTAAAAACACGCAGGTATATATATATATATATATATATATATATATATATATATATATATATATATATATATATATATATATTTGAAATGGAGGGAGGAAGTGATATCTCCTTGAGATGGTTGGCGATGTGTACATGTAAGTTTTGATTGTCAGATGTATATCGGTTTTTATGTATGGGTCGATAAAAATATTATGAAATATCGGTTAGCTCGATTAGTTATGTACAAAATCTTTCTCGGTGGTTAAATTTCTAGCAAATAGGGAATCAAAGGTGGTTTTTCTGTTAGCAGGACTAATTAGGCTTCAAAAAAGCCAGGTCCTCAAATTATTGGTGTTCATATTCATTTTTGTATGGATTTTTTTTTGCCAAAGTGAGAAATTTAATTAACAAGACCACCGTATCAACGAGTATCCACTTTCTACGCTAGGTAAGGTAACATGCTATTGTGATGAATTTAGCTGCTTCAAGGAATTAATGCTAAACGGCATTATCTTTGATATTAACTTATCAATGCAATCGGTACTGGAAGAGAGGATATCCTAGGATTTGTTTAGTGAATCAATTTGAGATGTTGAGTCTTCAATTGAAGTTATTAACTATAGTACGAAGCAGCACATTGTATATAGAACAACCAGGTGAAGATCCAGAAAGGAAAGGTTGAATAAACTATACAAAATTATATAACCTTTTTAATAGATGTATGACAGAAAATTTTAGCGGGACTTAAATAGAGACTTCCATGGTTAAAACGTTGGTAGTGAGGGGTCGGAGGCTCGAGACCCTGCCGCCCCATGGTAGATTCGCCACTGAGCACAACTACTATCTCCAAATATAGGACATGATAATTTTCGATCATTTCCAGTAAAACCATGGATCAAGATCCAATGAATAGGCTGTTAAAGCAGGAGATACTACCAATATAAACGACTCATTCCTCATTATTTCTATATTCCCTCACACTATTTATTGTATGCTTCACCACTTTACATGGCTTCTTTATCATGCGTAAAACATAACCTCATAACTAGCAACCAACTAATTGTGTAGTTCTCATTTTACCTTAGTTCAATTTAATAAACAACTGTAACTAACCCCCTTGTAACAATAGCTAGGTGGGCAGAGAATAACCTACAAAATCCAACACTTTGAAACCACCAACACTGAAGGTCAAAACTATTGTTTGTCTAACCATCCCATAGGTTACCCGAAAAGAATAAGCCAAAATCAAAATTTGAATTTTAGAACATTAAAATAGTTTTAAAACTTTAAGTTGAAAGTAAATACTTTCAACTTATTTTTTTTATATTAGCTTTTATGATAAAAAATATATAAATTTTTTACATATAATTTTTTTTATTCATTACTAAACCGTTACGACTTATAAATACTTTTGGGTAATTGATGAGTCCATAACTTTTCCCCCCTACTCCATCAGAGCCATTGTTTGGCTGATTTTAAGTATAAGCGAAACGGTATATATGCAAATAAAAACTAATTTGTAAATAAAACTTTTATATACGTGTTCTTAGCGATCTAAAAGGCTAAAAAATAAACTTCGATGAAAAACCTTAAAATCAGCTTCAAATTTAAGGTTAAAAATTTAAATTTTACCTGATAAGTATAAGTATAAGCGAAAATATAAGCCCGCATAAACCGGTAAGCAGGGAGTACTTGGAAAGTCAGGGGTACAGACGTAAGACCACAATAAAACGAGGGGCTAACCATCAAAACAACCCTTCCCCCCTCTCTCTCTCTCACACGGCCTCATCCATCCATCCCCACCTGAGCTCCCACCGGAGAAAACCACAAAACCACCCACCCAAAAAAACCAACCCCCTCCGCGATCCCCATTTCAAAATAACCCCGCCGCCTCCGCCGCCGCCGCCGACGAGGAGGGGTCACCGATGTTGTCCGACCAGGAGCTGGCCCGGTACGTGGAGTCGTTCGTGCGCCAGGCGGCGGCCGTCCCGGGCGCCGTGGCGGCGGCGGGGGGCATATCGGCGGAGTCCGTGGCGCGCCAGCTCGGCCCCCAGCTCGGCCTCGACCTCACCCCCAAGGCCCCCCTCATCCGCGACATCCTCCTCGCCCTCTTCTCCCCCCCGCCGCAGGGGGCCCCCTTCACCTCCTCCGCTCCCTCCCCCTCCGCCTCCGCCTCCGCCTCCGCCTCCGCCGCCGCTGCTGGCCACTTCTTCTCCCAGCAGCAGCAGCAGCAGCAGCTGCAGACGTTCCTGACGGCGTCGCAGCAGTACCAGCACCGCGGCGGCGCGGGGGCCGCGGCGGCGCCACCGTCGGCGTACGGCGTCGCGGCGGCGGCGGCGGGGTACAGGTACGGGCAGCCGTTCCCGCAGGACGAAGGGGCGCATCTGCAGAGGCTCGTCCAGATGCATCATCACCAGCAGCAGCAGCAGCAGCAGCAGCAGCAGCAGATGGCGGCGGCGGCGGCGGGGGTGGCCGCTGCGCCGCCCACGGCTGTGGAGAGCCCGCGCCCCGCGGCGGCATCGAAGAAAGAGAGGTGGTGCCTCCCACGCTTTGTTTTTCCTCTTCGATTTCCCATACCTTCGCTTCGAGTTAGGGCTTGGATTAGATGTTCTTTTAGGTTCTCGCTCCGATTTTTCAGATTTGGTTGGCGCATTGAGGTTAGGTCAAGACTAAAAACGCTACTACTAGTTTTTTTTTTCTCTTTAACGCTCACAAAGTTCTTGATGAGTTTAATCTTTATTACTACTGTGGATCGAGATATTTATCACGATGATTTAGTGGGGGTGGGGTAATCTGGAAGGAACTGGTTTCCGAGCGATTCAATTGGTTTGCCTGCTTGTACTACATCTTTAATGTCCACGGACGCTTGTGGAATCACTTCTAGTGTACTTGAGAAAATCTTTGAATACTGCCGTAGGGATGTCAACCATACCAGCATAATTAATGCCTCTGAACTTGTTGGGGGGCAATAATGGATCCCGTCATTCTCCTCAAAATGATTGCCATGCAAGCAACCTCCTTTGGCCTAGAAACTAAGAATCGTAACGATAAAGTTCATTGTGCTAAACAAATGGATTTTCCATATTATTTCATCTGGAAACTGGAATTTAACCTCCAGATCATATTTATCATGTTTGTTTACTCCACTTGATTAACTTCCAAATCATATTATTTGTGTTTACTTCATTTAGATTGACTTTCAAAAAAGGAACTTCTCTTAGATTTGCTATTTGGCATGTGCTTGTTCAGACATAATGTCCAAGAAGCATCAGTGTGTCTTTATGGAAGAATGTTCCTGATATGAAATCCGGTGTACAGACTATGAGAGAGATAAATGTGCCCTTATCTTGCTAAATGCTAGCATATTTTACTGCTCGGTCTATTCATTGAACCTTTTTTTTTTCCTTGGTCGTGTTTACGAACCAGTGCAAGTACTGGAGTAAAGAGAAGAGGTGGTCCAGGTGGGCTAAACAAAGTCTGTGGTGTTTCTCCTGAGCTGCAAGCTATTGTTGGTGAACCAACCATGGCTAGAACTGAGGTTTGTTCTGCTGGCTCACCTCTCTAGTGAATTATCTTGTATTAACTATTACATCATGTATGAAACCCTGACGTTGTGACTCAACTGCAGATCGTTAAGCAGCTTTGGGCATACATTCGCAGGAACAACTTGCAGGACCCAAACAATAAGAGAAAGATTATCTGCAATGATGAGCTGCGTCTAGTCTTTGAGACAGATAGCACTGATATGTTCAAGATGAACAAGCTTTTAGCTAAGCATATTAGACCACTTGAGGCAAAAAGTAGGTCTTCTTCACTCTCCAGCTATGTTCTGCAAAATAATCAAGCTTTTGTTTGTGGAATAAGTGCTCAAAATTCTTGCAGAAGATTCAAATCGAGATTCAAAGAAGTTGAAGCCTGTCGACAGCGAACCCATTTCTCCTGCTGAAACTGATGTTAACCAGCTTCCAATTATCTTGTCTGATGCTCTTGCGAGCTTTTTTGGGACTGGAGAGAAAGAGATGCCCTCGTCTGAGGCTGTTAAGCGTGTTTGGGACCACATCAAAAGCAATAATTTAGAGGTTAGTGATTATTACCAAACTTTTGTGTATTACATAGTTCTCATCATCTCATTTGAATTTGTTGTGCTATAATAAACTTGTGGTCATTTCAAATGTCCAAGCATGGAGAACTACAACAGGCAATGCATATTTCAGTTATAAACGAGTACCTAAATTGTGTTTTAGGATCAAAGCATATCAAGTTGATGTGAGGTAGTTAGAACTAAGAACTACTTACTAGGGAACAAATGTAAGTGCTAAGATAAGGATAATAGTGCTCTTTAATTTCGTATCAATGCTGTTATATGCCTGTAGATTTTTCTGATCTGTTTCATGAACTGAATTTTGTATACTGGATGCCCTTCTTGGTCTATTTTGATTTTCTTGGCAGATCTCTCACTTTCTATTCTCTCTTTTAGTTTTTCTTTTGTTTGTTGGTTGGTAGAATGGTTGTTGGTGGTTGAACAACTAGATGCATATGGTGGTTGTATCGGATATAAGTTGTTGGGTGTATATTCCCATGTGCTTTTCATTTTTGAACTCAGAACTGGTACATGGTGGTCAATATAATTTTGTATAGATTATCATACCTTATATAAAATCCAGTGTAGCCATTTGCGAGGATTTCGCAAGTTGCTTCTGTGTGCAAGTTGGTTTATTATATCTTTTGACCTTTGACAGGAGTGAAGCATAAGCAAAGCATGTCCCATTTAAGTCACTTTCCTCCTTACTTTAGTGTCCCATTCATAGCTAAATACTAGTGGTTTGCCACCTAAGAAGGTAATGAATGATAAATCATAGCATAAGCAAAATCTGAGTATACGTATTGGCTGCTCTTAGTTTGTGGTCTATTTTATCCATCATGCAAAAGAATTCGCCACTTCTAGTTTCTCCATATTAGTTTGTTTTGCTGTTCATGGAGATGGCCCAGTATGGTAGTTATTGAAAATCTGCCTGTTGGCATAGCTAGATGAAGACAAGAGGTTGCTGCTAGGCATTTATAGGTTGGATTTTTCAGTCATCTGGTTAGCAAGAGATTTTATATTATCCATCCAGGATTTCATTAACATAAACTATAATGTATAAATTGCTTTTGCTTATATTTGTGACTTCTCTTCCTCACTGAAGCCATTTTCAATGTTCTCTGTAAAGCACACAAGAGATCCTTGTATCTTGCTGTTCTAGTTCAATTAAACTACTGCGGATTCAGTCTTATATCTATCTTGCTTGATTTTGTTGCAGGATCCAGCAAATCCCACCATGATATTGTGCGACTCAAAACTTAAACAACTCTTTGGATGTGAAAGTCTAACTGCCGTGAGTGTTTCGGAGTTGCTGTCACAACACCTTTTCAAGCAACCTAACAAGCTCTAACTGGTTAGTTATTTCCTTTCAGAACAACATCATGTATTGAGACTTGCACTGGTTAGTGTTTGCTAGATGACATCCATCCCTGCTTGCAACTCCTAGTTAGTATAGGAAGATGTTGAACAATATCAGAATTTTTTAAAGTAACTGGATCTGCTCCTTCCCTGTTTGTTCCTTGCACCGAGTTCGCACCTTAATTTTATTATAATGGCTCTTAGGTGCTGGAAACTACTCAATCTATTTCATCTATAGCAAGGTGTTATCTTGCATATCTTATATGTTAAGGCAGAAGTTGATGGTGTTTTGTTTTGTTTTGCAGATGAATCGTCTTACTGGACTCTAGTTGGTCTAACACCCTGGTAGTAGGCGCTGATGAAACAACAGAAAATGCTGAAAGTGTTTATTCTATGCTTTGTATCCATCAAACTGATTTACTTATGAGAAAAAGGCTGTAGGCTAATCTCTTCACAGTAGCAAGGAAAAAGAATGATAGTTGTTGCATATTATGTAGTCTTGAGTCTTCTTGGAAGAGTCACATGTGGTAGGCTATCTTGAATTTCTAGCTTGTTAAATACTGAGTAGAAAGCAGCACCGAAGCAAAGTTAAAGCTGATGAACTTTGCTTGATGTAAAAATCAGCAAGCATAGGTGCGTTCTATGGTAAGTAGTTGCTTTCACCTTTGTTGCTTGAAAGCCTCTTACATTGTTAGTGCTCTTGTTAAAAGGACACCTGTGCTCTCCCTGTATTATGTTGTCGGTGATGCTTAATTTAAATTTACAGTTTTAGATTGTCATCAACACATTAATCATTTGCTCCTGTTCATCGTATTAATGAATGGTTGTTGCTCCTAACCATCATCAGACAGGCACTCTTTCAGCCTTTGCTTATACGCATCAGTTGAAGTGTTCTTGCATAGTGCTGTGGTGTTTCAGAATCTGTTGTCGCTTCACCTGCCACCAGTTCTACATCTGCTGCTGATTATTTACAACATGTTCTTGTAGCTCTACACAGTAGACCATGCTTATGATTTATGAAGTGTTATTGCTGTCCCAATAGACCTACAAGTTCTTGAACATATTGTAGAAAACTACCATGACCACCAGACCAATGATGGCACATGCGACTATTGTCCTCCTGTTACTCTCATCAAGAGTACCTTCTGGCAGAAGCTTATTCGCCAATGTCAAAATTACCGCATCCAAATTCTGCAGCGGTTAAAAAAAGGTTAAAATTTTAAGGTGTTTGGATTTTGGTCAAGAAAGTTTTATTGAATGCTAGCATGTTTCTGCACTGTAAATGCTTGCCTGGTGAATTATCTCAAGAATCCTCTGAAGTAGTGGCACATAAACCTTGTTCACTTCACTGCAACAACAAAACAAGAATACAATCCTATCAGTTTCTTCACCTCTTTTTTTTTTCTGCCGTAAATCCAACATTGTTAACTAATGTAAAAATGTTCACATGTATATTGCTAAATTGCTAATCATGGTTTATACTACTGGGTAAGCCAAATAGTAACAAGTTGACCCAAGGTTCAATTTAATCAGACTGAAAAATAATAATCTGAAATTAGTTTACTTAATGAGCAGCATGCCCCTGTAGACGTGATTGGTGGTGATGTTGCAGTCTAGGTCCCAAGGCAGCTTCTTGCCCTTCCATTCTGCAAGGCAAAACGCAGTTAAATGCAGTAATTTTTTCTTTCTGAAACTAATTTGTAATGCAGTAACAAAAGCCAATTCAGGTGAGGTTATTTCTGAACAAACCTAGAGACCATTTGACGCCTAGGTCGAAGCCTTCGTTTTCAGTCGGCTTGAGCACGAACGATACGTGGTGCCTAAGCATCATTGCGTGGAGGAGCAGAAACATGTTCTGTTAAAAGCAGGAAATGTGTAAAAAAATGCTGCCCTTTACTTGCTCCAAACTCGTTGGATGCTACCTCATATCTTCTATAAATCTAACCATATTGTTCTTTATTAAACTGATTAATTGAGAACTTTTGAAAATTTTGGTTAAAATTTGAACAATAGAGACAGCTAAATCAATTTCTTGACAGTGTGATTTTACGGTCCTAAAGGAGATAGAGGGAGATATCATAGTTTTAAACTGTTAAATTTGGTACTCCCTCCGTTTCACAATGTAATTTATTTTAGCATTTTCCACATTCATATTGATGTTATCATTAACATCAATATGAATGTGGAAAATGCTAAAATGACTTACATTGTGAAACGGAGGGAGTACTTCTTAGATATAAAAAAGTACTAAAGTTCATTCTAAAATAATTGGTATACTACCTCTTAAGAACCACATTTATTTTTCTAATTTCGAAACAGAGCAATCACTCACCTAAAAAGAACCCCATTTTTTTTTCTAGAGTTGAATATTGATTCCTTTTGTTTTGAAGAAAAAAAAATATAGCATTGGTTCCATATATATGTATAAAAACCAATTTAGTACTAGATGTGACATATTTTAATACAACGAATATGGACATATCTCTGTCCTAGGATGTGTCACGTCCAGTTCTGATTCGGTTTTTACGGGACGGAGGGAGTAGTTAATTTGTACCTTGCTCACTTGTGAAACGTCAATGGAGGAGATTCTACCGAAGAAGTAGAGGCACTCGTCGCCGGCGAGCTCGAGCAACTCCCTGACGCTCCTGTTCTGCACGGCGGAGTTGAGCTTCACCAGCCTCCTCACCGCCCGGAACCCGTCATCTCCGCCGCCGCCGTCGCCGAACAGGGAATTCACGCGCACTCGCCCCCTCACCCCCGCCGCCGCCGCGCTCTTGCTGCTCCGTGTCCCGGCACGCGGCGGCGCCGCCGATGGGAGAAGAAGAAGACGAAGATGACGACATGGCGCTGTCGTCGAAGCCGAGAGAAGAGCTGCATCCATGGCGTCTCGGATGTTTGGATTTTCTTGGGGATCGCGAGGTTGATCGGTTCGAGGGGTAGCTAGCTAGATATATGATCGAATTCCTCGCGGGTTTGGAATTCGATCCGTGGACTATTCCGGCGAAGAAAGCAAAGGATCGGATGGAATGGAATGGAATGGAATGCGATTGAAGGAGATGCCCGCAGTAGAAGAGGTTGCGAGGTTGGCAAGGCAGGGATGCTCTTCCAAACTTGGCTTGAGGTCCATTGCCCTACAAATGCTACATGCCATTTCATGGCTATAGCTGAAAATATGCTTCAGAAAGCTTCATCTCCAGGTTTAACATGGCACATGACAATGTTTATTGTCATCACTGGTTAGTGCATAGTGCTATTCAGATGGCTTCGTTCTTTTCTTTGATTCCCAACTCGCTCACCTCGTTTTCCGTGTGTACGCTTTTCAAACTGCTAAACAATGTGTTTTTTTGCCAAAATTTTTTTCTATACGAAATTTGCTTTTAGAAAATTATATTTATCCACTTTTCAAAAATATTAGCTAATACTGAATTAATCACGGACTAATGAACTGTTCCATTTTCGGTACGATGAGGTACACAACCTTAATGTGAATTATTTTACCCTATTATGGAGCCTGAATTGTTTTTACCATTTATCTTTTTTATATCACTAAAAGGCACTGATGAGATATAGTTATTCCCCGATGACCTAAATATACTTTTCCTTCTTTATACTCCATCCGTTTTATATTATAAGATTTTTTTTTGTCTTACTTAGATTCATCCATTGATTAATGTATATGTGTCTAGATTCATTAACATTTTTATGAATTTGGGTAATGCTAGAAAAACTTACATTGTGGAATGGAGGAAGTAGTACTTTACAATGCCTCAACACAACATATAGAGTGAAATAGTTTAGTTTTTTTTTTTTTACAATACCTCAACACAACATATAGAGTGAAATAGTATTTTTTTTTAATTGTCACTGGAGGGGAGAGGTTCCCACCTGAATCTTCCATTGAAAAAGCATTGTTTAGATTACATGGGGGGTACATGCATTAGCCCTAGGGCTAGCTATTATGGATGTAGAGAAGACAGACTATTTGAAAAAAATACTACACCAAGCATCAGCCTCTAATCTGTCGTTAACTTTAAGATGCTCTGCCCAGAGTGATAATTCTTCTTTGCAGCGCAGGATCAGCCGTTGGACTGACGGCTGAAGGTCGCGGAAGACGACATCGTGTCGGTGATTCCAGAGACGCCATAACCATAAGCAGAGTAGATAGAAGGTCTTGTAGTGTTTTGAAGGTATGTTTGGTGGCCGGGCTAAAAGATGAATGTTACTCACTTCGGCCACATTGGGTATAACTCCGATTGTCGTCCAAAAAGCTGATGCGAAGGGGCACATGAAGAAGAGATGATTCGACGTTTCGTCCCCTGTCTAGTAGATGGCACATACTCCCTCCGTCCAAAAAAAAAAAGTCAAACCCTATGTTTTCGTGTCCAACTTTGACTGTCCGTCTTATATGAAATTTTTTTATAATTCGTATTTTCATTGTTGTTAGATGATAAAACATGATTAATATTTTATGCGTGACTTGTCTTTTTAATATTTTTCATAATTTTCAAATAAGACGAACGGTCAAACGTTGAGCACGGAAACCAGGGTTTGTCTTTTTTTTTTGGGACGGAGGAAGTAGAGGTGACTGCAGGATTGTTTTTGTAAAAAGGTTTTTGGCAGTTGGCAATCGATCCTTTGAGAGCAACCATGCAAAGAATTGAACCTTTGGCGGTGAAGCATTCTTCCAGATGAAGGTGTGAACTGGATCCATTTCTGACGGAGGCAATAGGGCATGGTATATCCCCCTGGCAGTGAGATCACCTTGCTGTGAAAGCGTCGAGAATCTGAGGTCCTCCTCCTCAGAGAGGGAAATACTCCCTCCGTTTCGAAAGGTTTGACGCCGTTGACTTTTTACCACATGTTTGACCATTCGTCTTATTCTAAAAATTTAAGTAATTATTAATTCTTTTCCTATCATTTAATTCATTGCTAAATATATTTTTATGTAGGCATATAATTTTACATATTTCACAAAAGTTTTTGAATAAGACGAATGGTCAAACATGTGATAAAAAGTCAAGGGTGTCAAACATTTCGAAACGGAGGGAGTACCTTGCAATGTCATTGTAAGCTGGGATAGCTCCTGTGAAGCGGCTGTGGAAAGTCTTGGCGCCAGAGTAGAACAGATGGATCTTCAGGAAACCGACGCCGCTTGGAACAGATAGTGCGAGAAGAGAGCAGGGTACTGTAGACGGAAGCATTTGTCTGGGAGCCAGCAGTCATTCCAAAAGGATGTGCGAAGTCCATTGTTGTCCTGCGCCCTCGTTAGGATTTCCAGCTGGGGAATGAGCTTAGATATCTGGCTGTGTTTAGTTCAGCGCAAAGTTTAAATTTTAGTTGAAATTAGAGATGATGTGACTGAAAAGTTATGTGTGTATGACAGGTTGATGTGATGGAAAAGGACTGAAATTTGGATCCAAACTTTGGATCTAAACACAGCCTAGATATAGAATGCCAGTGAGGTCCAAGCTTGCCGAGTTCGACGAGAGATTTTGAATTCGAATTTGCTTCTGACCAGAGCCAATTGGACCAGGAGTTTACCCGGTAGAGGCTGAAAAGGCGCTTGAGTAGTAATGCATCATTTTGCATCTGAAGATTTTTGATCCCCAGGCCACCGAATTCCTTTGATTGACAGTGTACAAACGATAATGGAAATTATCTGAGCCATCAATCGCTTTAAGCGACTCCAAGAGCTTATAGAATTTTATGAAAGTAATATATATCGTTCTAATTTGAAACAATCCTCTTCAGATTAATAGCCTGGGTAAATCTTCCATGAGAAGGTCGTCCTTCTTCTGTTTTCTTTTTTTGGCGGTGGCTGGGTCACACTGCAAGAATCAAGATGCTGTAAATTATTGGTGAGTGAAGCTGTAGGGACAAAAGGGCGCATCTTTTTTTTTCTTATTTTCTAGGTGTGAGTGCAGTAGCTTTAGCGTTGTACTCCCTCCCCGAAAAACAAACCTACAACTGAATACGATATATTTTAGTACAATGAATCTGAATAAATATTATCTAAATTTATAGTATTAGGATGTGTCATATCCAGTAATAAATTGATTTTCTATGAGATGGAGGGACTACACACTTGCACTGCTGGCCAATAGCCCACTACTGAACTTGCCAAAAATTTTCCAAAATACTGAAATAGGTCTCAGAAAATAGAGAAAAAGAAAAGGGAAAAAAATGTTTCGAGTTTAAAAACAATGAAGATTTAGCACTGTACAACAAGAACGGTGTCGACATGCACAAGTAGCGGGTGCAATTCAAACTCGGCGCCGCCTCGTACATTATTATTGCCAGTCTAAAAATTTCGAAATGCCTGAAACTTCTGTAGAAGTTTATTGGAATTTGATGTGCTCTTCAGCTTCTCGGGATGACTATTGCCTCGTTTTTTCATGAGCACACTTCCTAAACTATTAAACTATATTAAGCTGTATATGTATTTTTTTATTGAATAGTTTCTTGAAAAATCAAATAAACTATGTTTATTGAATAGCCACTAAAAAGCTGGTCTCAACCCCTGATTCGAACCAACACCCAGTACCGTAAGTTGCAGCCCAGTACCGCACTATTGGTGCTTGGACAGGATAGCAAAGGAATATGCCTATTTTGCCTTCCTCATCTTTTACTCTAGATTGAGTTGTGTCACTTGCCACAAAACCGGGTATAATGTATCCCCCATCTTTAAAAACCAGTGCAAATAGACTCTGGTGGTTTGGAAGTAGTTTTTGCAGGTGGGGCTCACATGTCAGTGAGATATGGATAAACATATGTGGTGGGCCCTATCGGTTTCATCTCCGCCCATGTGATGTCTACCCCCACCCCCATGCTACTACACTGTGCGCGCATCGTTCCCCTTCTCCTCTTGCCTACATGGCACCCTCGGCGTCCCTGACCACCACCACTCTTTCCGACATGCTTAACCAGGACTGCCGCCGTGACGCCCAAGGCCACGGCACCTTCCTGCCGTGGAGGTTGTCGTTGCAACTCGTGCTCGATCTCCACCGCTTGGGTGCCGCTTGTGTCCCTAGGAGCGCCTTCCTGCACCCCAATCGTCGGTCCTAGGTCCGTGCCCCAGAAACCGCCACACCCAGAGGTGCCCCAATTGGTAAATATCGTCGTCGTTGAGAGGCCTTTGAGGGAGAGAGAGGAAGCCGCCGCCAAACACATCCACAACCACCACACACTGGCTGAGTTTACTCATGCAGAAGCGACGATGGTCGTCTTGGCGAGTTGACTCGCACGAGGAGGCGACGCTCGGTGGCAACGAGGCCTCGACACTGAAGGGAGTTAGCGGACACAGTGGTGGTGCCGCGGATTGGTTTTTTGACCGCCCCCGTTAAGGTGGTGGAGGACACAACGAGCTTCCCCCCATCCGCGCACGGCCGGCCGACGTCTCCTCCCCTCACATGCTGCCAGCCAGCAAGTCCTCCCTCCTAGCGCGACCGGCCAACAAGCTCCTCCCTGCGCAAGTTGCGGCTAGTGAAACCTCCCCTGTGCGTGCCCGACAGGCCAGGTCCTCCCCGCTTGTGTACTTGGTCGATGAGCTCCTCCTTCCGCGCGCAGCCGACTGGCAAGCTACTCCCCTACGAGCTACAAAGATTGGTACCGTCGCTGCCGCCCAGCCTTTGTTACTAATGGAAGGTGGGAGAGGAGTAAGAAAGGAAAGAAAGAGAGATGGAGAGGTGAGGAAGAAGATGGGATAAGGTGGAAGTCACTGACATGTGGGACCCACTTGCTGATTCAGCGAGTTAACCATGGGTAACCTACCACGTCAGGAGAAACTGCTTTCCAAATCGTCGAAGGAGTCTATTTGCACTGGTTTTTAAAGATGGGATATGTGTTATACAATTTGTTTTTGAGGGATGCGACTTAATCAGGATCAAGATAGAGGGAGGTAAAATAGACTTATCCGGTAGGAAATTGAAGTCTCGTCCAGACTGTCCCGAAGCCTGGAACAATTACACACCTCTATTGAGAAATATTTGATTCAAACTTTTGAAGCTTTATTCGTCGATATTCTATCAAATGCTAGCTAGGCTTAAAAAGAAAGAAATGACACGGGGGAGATTTGTCTTAAAAATACTATCATACTCTCTTGTTTTAAGTTATTTGTTACTCCAGTTTCCTTTTAAGTTAAATATTTCTATCTTTGATATCATTTATAGAAATTTATAGAGTTTAATAACATGCAAATTATATATTATGAAGTTTAGTTCACGCCAAGCTACTTCAAAATCTTTCTATATAGAAGTTTTTCAAAGTGATTTTATTTAAATTAAATCACTTTTCAAAATATTTAATAATTAATTGTTAATTAGTTATGAGTTAATGATTCATCTCGTATTACTAGCAAAAAAATCAAAACCTTTACGCTCAAACGAACGCCCAGTTGGATTATGTTACAACTTACTCCCTCCGTCTCATAATATAAGGGATTTTGAGTTTTTACTTGTATTGTTTGACCACTCGTTTTATTTAAAAAATTTTAGAATTTTTTTGATTTACTTTATTATCCCAAGTATTTTAAGCACAACTTTTATTTTTTTTATATTTGCACAGATTTTTTAAATAAGACGAGTGGTTAAACAGTATAAATAAAAACTTAAAATTTCTTATATTATGGGACGGAAACTTAAAATTTCTTATATTATGGGACGGATAGAATACAACTCAAGCTAGCTTGACAGATAAAACATTCGAAAGTAGATTTTCATGTTAGGAACGTGACTTGACTACCGATACTAAAGTGGTTTATGGTTTATCTAGCATACAAAATGAGCTGGATACACGCCTACTGCGACATGCCATGTTGGCACCATAGTACTCCGTGCAAAGGACTGTTCATTGTGAGGACGCATGTGGGGCCCTTCCACCGCCCTAGCTCTGTTGCCACGTCAGAGTTGGGTTGCCGTTTGGCTCCAATAATCTGCCTCCTTTGATCTCTGTGGCCTGCCATTCCATGGCCACATGTGTTGCCCTACCAAAATAAAACGATGCTTCAAAATGATTTTAAAAAATGCTTGTTTTGTGCTGTTTTGAAGATGAAAAATTCAATTATTTGTAGCATAATATCTAGCTAAGGCCGAAGGCTTCCAATCTGATATGAAGCTGGAGTTGTGGAGTTAGAAAAAATAGCTTCACCCTTTCTTAAACACTACATGCTCTTACGTTATAATAGGATAGAACCATAAATAAAAATAGACTGTAAGTGTGATTGTAAAATAAAACAGTGGATCCGGTGGTTACGTACATATGTTACTTCACGCGTGCAAGCTCGCTGCGCATGGTGGGGGAGGGGATGGAGGGAGAATGACTATGCTTTTAAAATAATAGAGATATTCATGCATGGATGAACTAGTTATCACTAGGCAAATATAGCTGACGCATTAAACATGTAGCTGCTACAATTGGTTGATCGCGTAACTGGTAGGCTGAAACATCATAGCCAACCTCATCAGGGCCGGCCTTGACTTTTGTGGCCCGGTGCAAAAAAAAAGAAGGCCCCCATTCACCATAAAAATACAAGATAATATTTAAAATCTAATTTGTCATTAACGAATTTCACACTAACAAGTTTAAAGTACAATCAAGCAGTCACGATATGCTCGATCACCGATTAGTCTTGTCTTTCCTCTAAGTCTATCAGACCTGATATCGTAATATACATATTTTGGAGGTCTCTAATTTTTGAAGGCCCAGTGTGGTCGCACCGTCCGCACTGCCTCAGGGCCGGCCCTGAACCTCATCCATTGCTACTTGTATAATAAATTTAAGCCCTTGAGGATTTGTTTATTTTGTTTTCTATTTCCTGTTTCTTTTTTGAAAATGATAGACAAGGCAAATTTTAAATAAACGTTAACCCAATTTAAACTAAAATCACCAGCATTCTAACTCAAACTACAACATGAATGTTTTCAGCTCCAACAACACGATTGCTCACAGAACAATTGATACAACAGAGTACTTGCCACGGTAGATCAAGCGAGGCAGTAGGCGTGTACGTGGCCGTGGGGCCAACGCTGATCACCGGCCATATCCATCACCAGCGAATTTGTACCAATTCTGTCAACCTATCCTACTCTGCACGTTGGACGTTTGGTTTAATTTGGACTCTCCCAAACAACGCTTTTTTCTCATTTTCTCTATTTCGCTATCGTCCTTTGGCCTCTCCTCATACGTACTAGTCTATGCTTTTAGAGCTTACAAATTCATTACAAAAAGTTGTCCAACCACGTTCATCTTCAAGATCGATGATGTAGATAGATACTATAGCTCTATAATTCTCCTGACTTTCTTCTCCAACCAAAAATTAAAATTCGATTCCAAACTGCATTTGTAGTTATAATGAATGAAAATCAAACCAAAATGCATCGTCAGAATTTCGCTTAAAACAATTCAGCTCTTTTCTACCATGGTTTTGTTTGAAGAGCTCGAAATTCCGAGAAGAAACTAATGAGAAATCAGCTCGTAAAAATATAAAAAACCTACAATTTTTTTCTACTTTTTAGCTTCTTATTTATTTTCTAAATTCTACAATTACAAATTCTTAAAATCTTAACATTTAGACCGTATGGGAAAACCGAAGACTTAGAAAAAAAAAGGGTGTAGTTATGAAAAGCTCCTCCAGCATGGTTCGATCAATCTGATGAACTGGCGGCGATCAATATCATTCATACAATGTGTCAATGTTGTATGATAAAATTTCCCCATCTTTTACAAAGGCACCCGGATCCATCCATCCATGCAGCTGCTTTTGGGAAAAGGTGCAAGAAAGTTTCAGTGCCGTAGTAGTATATTCAAAGCAGAGGAATGAAGAAGATCTCAGCTCCATATGCCGTAATTATTATTGTTGCCAACGGAGCCTCCCACATGACACATGCGACCACTTCACCCCCCAACCCTCGCTGTAAAACGCTCTACCTGTAGTATTTCATATTTTCATGGCAAATTAGGGCTAATCATCCCAAATTAATGAACTTCCATCCAATGACATGAAAAACAACTCATCAATCGATCAATATTGAATAAATCACAAGAATATATAATTAGTGTGATTGATACAGTCCAAATGGCCAATAATCTCATCTAATTAAGCTAGTCGCGAGAAAGGCCCTGGTCTTCCGGCTAGCTAGCACCGTAGTATAAATTGTGGGCTAGCCGACTCGAGTTCAAGCCTCAACCTTCTCTTAATTAATAAATTTTAATATCAGAGTTTTTTCTCTTATATCCAACATTTTAATTTACAGTCAACCAATTCTTCAGCCGTATTACGGAGTAGTTATATGTTGCTAGCTGCAACGTATAACACTCCTATCCTAAGCTACTTTACATATCATTATTGCATCCTGGAACAATTCTTGGCCTCTGATGTCAACTTCTCGATCATCAGTATAATCCACTCAACAAAATCTGTCCATGGATTATTTCTTTGTTTCTAACTCAAATCCCAACCATTATATTGCTGTAAATCAGTAATATGACACTAGATAATTAAGAAGAAGAAGCTGGGGCACATGCATCCAAAAGCTAGCTAGGGAATAATAAGCTCAGTAGATTAGCACATACACTAACCTCATCATTTTGGGGATGAAAAAGATGAGCTAATTTCCAAACACATCACAAGCTCGAATAAACTAGCTATGGCTGATGCGTAGCTCTAGGCGTTTGCACCCGTTTCAATTCAAATCACAGATCTGAATTCGAGCGCACATTCTTCGATCGGCTCAAGTTGCAATGTCTTCACGCTAGTGTCGATCGAGTGATGAAGATCGATCTCCCTGATCTCTCGATCGTGCGCACAAAAGAAAATGATTTGAGTAATGCCATAATTAAAGATCAATTGGTAGATGTTGGATATACTTCAACACACACACACACATGAAGTAAATTTACAAAGTTACATGAAAAAATTATTCAAACTGATAACAACAAAGTAAAGTCATATGTAATAACAAAACTACAGTTAGAAAGAAATAAAATTACACCCTGCATACATTAGAAATATATACTAAACAACATAGAATTACAATTATTTTGGGACGGAGGTAGTACAGCTTTAGATGATTGAAAACTTCCAAATTTTCAGACGTTTGAAATCCCAGAGATACCCTAAATTTCATAAATAATGTACCATGTATGTCAGGATATAGACGGTTACTTTTTTTTGTGTAGTGCTGGAGAAATCGAAAACCAAAGTGTAGCTGGCAAATTAAGAGGCTAGGATACAAGGGCTGGCACTATAGAACGTGCATGCAGATGCAGGAACAAACAAGTGGTCAGGTCAGGGCGGTGCGTGGCTGCATGCATTGCACTGTCATGAGCACGATGACCCAATCCTTACAACTCAAAAGCTCTGCTTCCCCTCATGGCCATGTCCAGCTTGATCTTGGCTTTTTCTTCACCCCATTTATGCCTCTTTGTTCTTTAACTATGCAAATAAATCAATTTCCATAGGAAAAAAATAAACAAGACTAATCAATTTTTGGATCCAATGTAAAATAGTAGTGCATCATGTAATCAATGTGAGCTTGTAGGAGTGTATGTACAGCTTTGTTCTCCAAGATTCCCAGCATAGATTAGAGACTCGTTTAATCATGCTCTAACTCGTAAATTTAACTTCAAAAGTTAGATATAGAGCTTTACTTCTCTAGATCATTTTATAAGAGCATGCCAGCTTATTCCGCTTTCTTTTTATGTGGAGCTGAAACGTTTTAATCGTACTTTAGCTTCAGAAGAAATGAAGCTTAAGTTGGCCTGAGCTGTGTCAAACAGGCCTAGCTAGCAAAAAGGCCGATCAGTTTTTGATTAGTGAATGGGAGCAGTATTTTTGATCCGGTCACGCAGGGCCACAAATTAAAGCTGGATTAATTGCTTTTAATTAATCGCAGTAGTTCATCTCGAAAATAATTGAATTAGTTGGGACCATTTTGGCCTCGAAACCCCTCTATAAATAGCCCCTCCACCTCAACACATCGCTTCACACACGAGATCTCATCGATCAGTCACAGTGACGCAGTGAGCACTAGCTTCCACTGCTCGCATCGCTTGTCATCATCATCAGTTCATCACCAATGGCCACCGTCGAGGCAAGTAGCTAGCTACTGATCATTCATTCATATTCATTCATCCTGTGACAAGACGAGGTTTGCATTTCGATTCGATCGAAATCGATCTCGTGATTTTGTTGTGCTGATGATGAGATGAATGCATGCATGGTTGCTTTGCTTAAGAGCAAGTTTAATAGTAAAACCAACTACCGACTCCAAATCATTTGAGTCAATTTAGTAACCAATTTATGTACTCCATCCGTCCCATAATGTTGCAACCTAAGATTGGATGAGACCCATCCTAAGACTACGAATCTGGACATGCCATCCTACGACTATGAGGCATGTCCAGATTCATAGTCCTGAGACCCATCCTAGGTTGTAACATTATAGGACGGAGGGAGTAATAGTTACCTATAAACATATACTACTACACAATTCATATTTGGCTATACATATCACAACACACATGTATCTTGGAGTTTGTGCTACAGCTGGCTATAAATCTATAGTCCACTATAGTCCACTGATCTTCTATCTTCTCGAAATGTGTTTATAGCTGGCTTATACCTGCTCAAATGCTGCAGGTCCAAGCAGTCGCCGCCGCGCCTAGTCTGGCGGCGGAGGAGGCTCCGGCCGTGGTGGAGGCTGTCCAGGACCAGGAGCCGGTCGTCGCCGCCGTTGAGGAAGAAGAAGCCACCGCCGCCGCCGCTGCGGCTGCGGCTGCGCAGGTCGAAGAGACAAAGCCGGCAGATGATCAGGCTGCGGCTGCTCCGGCGGAGACTGTGGCTGAGGCCGAGGCAGAGGCCAAAGAGGCAGAGCCTGCAGCCGCCGAGGAGGCCGAGCCGGAGGCGGAGACGGCGCCGCCGGCGGCGATCGCCGAGGCCGAGGCAGGTGAGGCGAAAGAACCGGAGCCAGAGGCAGAGGCAGAGGCGGCGGCCGCTCCCGTCGAAGAAGCTGCTGCGGCGCCCGTCGAGGTGGCGGAGGAGGCTGAGGCGGCGCCACCGGCCGCACCCGAGGTGGCTGCCGTCGAGGCCACCGAGTGAGCTGGCGAGAGATGGCGAGCCGGAGATGAAGCTGATGGCTGCCGGCGGCGGCGGCGGCGGCGGCGGCGTACGTGTGTGTTGTGTAATGAATTGGGCTCCAATAAAAATGTGTCAGGTTGGCTACCGGGCCCAGTGTCAGTAGGTGCTGACGTGGCAGGTCATCACTGGCCCTGGAGCTCGTGCCCGTGTATGTTCTCGGTCTGTGTTGTGGTTTCATCGTTAAAAATGCTAGTAATAATTTTCCGTATCTTTTTTTTTGTTAAGATTTTCTCTTTTTTTTTTCATTTTTGATGTCACGAACTCATGATACGAGACATATAAGACACGGTATTGAGGGAGCTAAAATAGACTTATTCTAAAAAAGGAGCACGGTGTGTCTGCTGTGCCGGCCCGACTGATCTCAGGCCATGCCTGATCATGCCTGGGCCGGGTTGGGCCGGCGGCCCATTTGGCTATCTATATGGGGATGAGCTTTTAATAATCACAATGCTTGATGCAGTACAGATAAACACATATAAGTAGTCACTACTATGACTGCACCGGATCCTTATCCATAGAAGTATGTGTGAGTGAACTACTTGGTGGAGAGCTTTTGTTTTTCTCATGTATAATTGGCCCGCAGATGGTACTGCCATTGCAAATTTTAAGCAGTGCAAATCTAATTCGAGTGGAATTTATGTAGCAGGCATATAATTAATTGAACACATTACGAGTTTGTTTGGAGGATGTAGTAGTAATGTGCAAAGCATTTTTCAGTTGACTGTTTTTTCTATGTATGTACAACAATAAATAGATTGTTGCAAACAGATCCTAATATTAACTTCAGTACTTCATGTCATGTTCAACATGTTTAAGAATACTGAAAGTTGACAACATATTTATCCTAGTGATGTGAACATATTCAAACTTAACAAAAAGTTGGCTGGAGTGCTACTGTGAAGAACGGAGGTTAACTTTTGATGCTATTAAAGTGAATTAGAATCTTTCGGTGCATATATCTGATGTCGGGAACTTTCAGTGTTATAGAACCAATTTCCCCTATAATAAATATTCATTCTGGTGATGTGAATATAATATTTTTCTCAGTAAATTATTTTCTTGTCTTAAGTGTTATTGTGAATATATATTAATCATGCATGATGGAGAATGATCATTTACAACTAACTTATATGCTATTTTTAGAAGAAAAAAAAACAGTTTTTGTTTGTGGCATTGCAAAAGGCTATTTGTTTAGTTGCATAAGTTCCTCAAAGTACTGTAGATTAAAGTTAATGGCATTTTGTGTATACTAATGTCACCATATAAATGCATGGGGGAATAGGAGCATGATTGCTTAATTTCGGAAAGATTGTTTTGACCATGGTTAAACTTCAGAAAATTGCTGCAAGTAGTTTGTATGGTCTTCCATGCAAACTATATTAGATAATGCTTAATTTCAGTTGTTATAGTTTACCTCTCTTTGGCGTTATCCACAAGCAGTTGTCAATTGCTAAAATTTCGAATTGCCACATTACATGATGTGCTATTTCTATATTATGGTCTTACACAATTTTTTTTTAAATTCTCCTGTGATGGCAGTTGGAGAAGATGAAGATAATGGTGTAAATCATGTAATGGAAGGCTGTAGGATCTTTTTGTAGGGGTGCTGAAGGATCAATTATGCGTCTGCAATGCATGGCCTATTTACGAAAATTTTGGTAGTATTTCTTATGTATTTACTAAATTCAGCAATAAACTACACGTAGACACCTTTTTTTATAACTTTACCAAAAAAAAAATTGTATGGTTGAAAATGGCAACAATCTGAATAGCCCCGCAGTTCTTTCACAGTGTCTAAAGTAGTAAGCATAGACTCCTAGGACTGTTGATATTCTAACTATATTAAATAATGCTATGTTTCAACTAATATGGCAAAAGTGATATTTGATCTTAATTGGAAATTACAGTTATTACTCCACTAAATGTATTTTGTTTGTACGATAAGATATTAATTGGAAATTACCGTTATTACTCCACGGATCTACTAGGTTTTATTGGAGGCCTACGTAAGCCCATAGCATTTTTAGATCAAGACCACCATTAGCTATACTCCTTTAAAAATAATCCAATGGTGTTGACAGTGAATATGTCACCCCACCTACCCCGTTGTAATTTTTACATATTACGCTTTAAACCTCTTAATATTACATACAACTAGATTTAAATGGATAGCCACATTTTCCTATAGGGAAAAAGTGGGCTACATATTTCATGGTAAATATGATTTATTGTAGTAAATATTGTGATATTTTTTTTCTTTTATATGTAGCAAAGCACATGGATTTAGCTAGTATGGTGAAACTTTGCTAGACCTAATGGGCTTCGTTTCCTGGCCTTGGGCCATGGCCTGGGTGGCCTAAGGCCATGACTTGAGGCCTACTCCCTTGATAGTAGTTTCCGTTGGGATTAAATCCCCAAACCGGACCTGATGAATAACAACTCCCTCAACCAAAAAAAAAAAACAAATTTGAGTTTGAGTTAAACTTTATTAAAAATATTATTTTTTTAGTTCACCGGTTTATCGAGGAGTTTTATGTTTGAGCATATGATACCACGTGCAATGATATGTCCGATAAACATGCTAGCAGAGCTGTTACCATCGATCGATATTTGAAATCGGCGTGCCCACTTGGCCCTGTGGTTGAATCTGATGGAGATATTAAGTATGGGCATGCGAAACGAGAAACCCTTTTAACATGTGATTTAATGAGTTTAAACATAAAATTAGATTTATGTAATATTGTAAAACAACTTTTATATAGAAAATTGTAAAACAACTTTTATATTGTGCCAAACGGTTTTTTCCTTTTTTGGAGCGGAGTTTGCAGAGCTGCTCCACAAATTTGTACTACGGGGGTGGAGCTGGGTTTTTCTGCTCCACAGCTCCACTCCATCCCAAAAGACCCACTAACCTTTAATTTTTTAGTGTATTTACACAAAAATGCCACTGAAATACCCCTTCCTACTTCTGTCCTCTCGTTCTCTCTCCTCTCCATCTTCTTCCCCATCCTCCTCCGACGGCCGGTTGTGGTGGTGGCAGCGGCGTCTACGTCGGCGGCGGCAGGCGGTGTCGGCAGCCGTGGGCGGTGGCGCGGCGGCCGCAACGGGCGGCTCACGGGTGACGGCGTCGACAGGCGGCGGCGCGTGCGCGGTAGCATGGGAGGCGGCACGCGAGCTACGGCGGCAGTGGCTCGCAAGCTGACCGATGCCGACGGCTCGCAGGCTGCCCGGCGGCGGCAACGGCAGGGTGACACCTACAAGATGTTCGACAAAATGGTGACGAGGGATATGGTAACATGGAGCTGAGTAATCTAGTCAAACACTTTCTATACATACCTCAGCTCCTAAAGGAGCCAACTTTTACTGGAGTTGAAGTTTAGAGTTTGGAGCTCTACCAACCGAGACCTTATAAGAGGGATGGTCTTATAATCTACAAGGCCTTCACCAGATCCTATTTAGCTTGTAGATCGATTATAACTCAAAAACCTGGGTCCTAAGCTAAAACACACACACACAAAAAAAACACTAAATTGGACTTTGACTAGGGGTTGAAGGTCTGACCGTTTGGACACTGGTCTGACCACATATTATTGTCCAGTCTGATTGCTCAAAGATTAGCGGTCAGGCCGGCCTGGCAGTAAAGTTTACAATCCTTTTTCTAAATTTAGACTAAAATTGATCTAGTGCTAAATTTAGCTGTCAACAGAAACATTAAAAATTTGAGAATGTTATGTTGTCGGCTCCTGAGATTGTAATCTATTTGGAGTTGATAATTGAGATACGGACAATTACATAATCAACCACTCAACACATATCATACTCGCTCAACCTCGATATAGAACACACGGGTCTTTCCATGCGTCTAGGAGACGACAATACCGTTTGTTTGTCTTCCATTCAACCGACGCTTCGAGAGAAGAGGGTTGGGGTACCCAAGTCCCTAGATAGCTAGGGCAGACATCATAGAATGCCATATTGGTGTCCTTGGTAGTAGGAGTCGTATCTACGAGACGAAAACCAATGGTGAGTATCTTAGGTGGACGTATTGAACTAAAATAAGATTTAAAATTGACAAGGAGGTCTCACTTTCCACGTAAGTGTATCGTGAGGGTGTTCACAATACGGGCTACGCACTCAAGAGGCCCAAGAGACCAACTATGCTCAAGATCGTTGTAAGTAACAAGCTTCACACTACATCGCTCGTGTACGCCTGGCAAAACCACGCCACGCTAGGATCCGCCCTCCACAACACGGCGGTGTGCCCATCTCTTTACGTCGCATGCTCTCCATGTAGACAGAGAACGCGTGTCTATCTTTAATTCCGTGTTCTTCGTTTGACTCCGCATATGGACGACATAGCGTTGAATATTTTTTTTTCCTTTTTTGCGCCATGGGTACGGAACAACACGTCGATTGCATTGCTAACGCCCTGAATGTCGTAAACGCTCACGCTACTGTCGCTGCTACTGCTGCTCGTAAACGCCGGAGGCATTTTGCATGGAACGGCTTGGACATATCTCTGGTCCTGGACTTGGTCAGTGACTGAGGTGAGACCTGTATATTTTGGCGTTGAATTAGAAAGGCTATCGCACACTGTATTTGTCATGGACTCGTTCAGAAAACATGGGCACCAAAATAGTAGTGCCAGCGCTCACACGGCAATACTAATAAGTACCCATAATAAGCACAGTTGTAGCTTTCAGTGTCAAATTTTGATCAACCGTCTTATTTAAAATATTTTTATGATTAGTATTTTTATTATTATTAGATGATAAAATATAAATAATACTTTATGCGTGACTTAACTTTTAAAAATTTTTCATAAATTTTTTAAATAAGACGAACGGTCAAAAGTTAGGCACAGAAACTTATGATTGTACTTATAATGGGACGGAGGGAGTAATAACTAGTGAACTGGCGCACACATATAAGTTACGTCGCATCATGCGTCCAACGAAAGGTACAAACCTATTTAGCACAGCTCTAGCTTTAACTTTAACTTTTCTAGAGCTGAAGTTCACTAAAAAAAGTTTCAGTTTCACCTAAAACGAAAGCGAAGTTAGGTAAAAGCAGTCTCATAAAATAATTTATACTGTTTTACAACCATATTCTAGACCCAATTTCTATACCAAAATTTTAAAGTTGAAACCCTACCGAGCATACCTCGATCGATCATGGGACCGTCACACGGCTTCGGCGTCGAAATCCGGGAGCAACAGCCGGT